TAGTGTCAGACGGTTACACAGTAATCTAAAAATGGAGGCTGGTGTAAAGCCACAGCAAGAGCTGTTGACAGTTTTATCACAGAGATTCTAAATACTGTGTAATAGTGGACTATTGTCTTTCTTTTGTTTTACACATTTTTAAATTCTGGACACTACAAAAGTCTGACTTTTCACTCACCAAAGTCACAGGGTTCTAGAAATATTATTTTATGTTGGTGTTGTCTTTGGATGTCTGTTTACTGTACACAGATAACTTTTGAAATACTGCCTGAAAGTCTTGTCTCGTAACCCATAGACAATAGGACTAACAAAGCGAGGGAGGATTTGGTTTATGATAAACATAACAAAGTGTATGGATGCTAAACTCCCTGGGAATAAGTATATGAACAATTGAATTAACATAGGTTGCACATAGACCATCATACACAGCAGCACCTGAAAGCCATGAAGGAGGATTGTGTTTCTGGCCTTTTTAGCATCTGCATTAGCAGCTTTGGCTGCAAACAAAATTCTGAAGTAACTGTAAAACAGAGTGAGCCAAACTACAACCAGAAACAATATGTGGGATACATCCCTCTTCTTCAGACTGTAGGGGCTCCTAAACACTGAATCCCTGGAACAGTAAACTCTTGAATTTAGGAACTCCAGAGGTTCAGTGGCCAGAAGGATGAAGACATCAGGTAGGACAGAAAGTGAACTCATTGTCCAGATTATGCCAATTACAATATATGTTCTTTTGACCGTACATATGTTGTTGTAGCGGAGGGGAATGCAGACTGCGATGTAGCACTCTGCTGCCATGAAAGCTAGGTTCAGAGGGGTGTTTTGTGTGGTGAAGATGGCAGGCAAAATGAGGAGACAACAGAGGGAGACATAGATGGTGTGGAAGGCATAACTGAAGACGAAGAGGGAAATGCTGGTTGTCAGCTGGATCATGTCGTTGAACACCAGGTGGATGAAAAGGATATAGCGAGGGTTCGACTTGAAGATCTGAAGTGAAGAACAGAATTAGGTTAGACTGCAAATATTACACACCTCCACTTAGGTATTGTACATTTATCTAAAACCACTAGTCCCATTAAATTGAATGACATTGTGTTCTGCCTAAAACCCCAGAAACCTCATTGGACTCGTTGTTTTATTACTTTTTTATATCATGCTTATTCACCATCTGTGATTCTATGTGAACATAACACAGGAATGATAATTGCATTAAAAAACATTCTTACATTCCTGTATTTAACAAGCAACTTGATATAAATGTCTACTAGTAATCACATCACACTGGCTTTCTTTTGTCATCCTTGCATGAAGATTTCTGTACAGACTGAGTATACAGTCACTGGAAGAGGATGACTAACAATTAAAAAGATGATTGTACTTTATCTCTTATAGAATAAGAAGGTCGTGAAGGTTCAAGTTGAATAATTACAATTTGTCTTGTTACCACATAGTCAACTGTCCACTAAATTGCTATTTAGTTCCTTTGGTATTTATGTATGAAATATTTTAAGTAGATATGTAATTCACACATGCAACCCAGCAGGTAGGAGAAAAAACTACATAAATCAGATTACAGCAGCTAGAAAATTAAGTGTTGATGCAAAAATAATTGCTATATTAACAAGAACAAGAAGAACATGGTTATACCTTTTAAGACCAACCGTTTTGAAAAAGAGCAAATATAAAATAAAACAAAGAAACAAAAGGAAGAGAGAGAAGTTTCCAACTGCACACATATTTTACACTAAATTCCTTGCTTAACTAATTAACTTTCTCACATTCACTGTTAAAGTATGGAATAATTTAACAAAATGCTTTTTCATGTCCAAGTAGAAATGCAATGTGACCCAGCAGGAGAAAAAGGTACATACATCAGGTTACAGGAGCTAGAAAATTAAGTGTTATTCCAAAAATAATTACTGAAACAACTAGAATCAGGAGAATAGGGTTATACCTTTTAAGACCAGATAGAAAAGACGGCAATGAAAGGGAAGTGAGAGGTATTTCTTTTTCTTACATATTTCACAACTAATTTCTTTCTTTGCTCGCTTAACTAATTAATTTTCTCTTATGTAGAAATACTATTATACACACATGATGCTTGTTGAATGTGTGGACCAGTGTTGCATTGATGTAGTTGATGGTGATGGCGAGGACAATGACAGTCACATTCTTGCCAACAGCCAAAACAAACGCGTCTCTGTAATTCATAGTCATCGTTAAATTGTTGTTCCCTGGTGTGAAATTCATGTCAGCATCCGATGAACTTCTTTCAAAAGCAAAAGAAATACAATTTACGATCATAAAATACTGAAAGCATGATTTCAAAATAAATATTCTCACTAGTTTTTTTTCTCTGAAATTTGAAGTAGTCAAGTGAACAAACAATTCAATACTGACCTCAGACTGTGGATTCGGATCTGGAGGTTAATCGGCCTTACAATGATTGTGCTATAGCAAGAGAAGATTGTTTTATACAGCAGGTTCACTGAGTACATGTGCACGCTTCTGACCTGAAACACACCCACACAGCGTACTTGTGTGATGAAGTACATGTAGTATTTTTAGCTATAGTGTTTAGTATCTTTAGTACATTTACAAAAAAATTCCTTTTAACCCGGCTGTAGGTTGGTGGTCTTCTGCCTTGACCAGTTGGGGAAGAAAGGGAGGGTAGAGGGGTAAATAGAGAAGGACAGAGACAGAGACAAAGGTGCACAGCAACAATTATACTAATAGAAATGACTGATGATGATGGTGAACATGAAGAAGATGATGACGACAACAACAGCCACAACGTCTAGTGGGGTAATAGGGTACCATGAGCTCTTTAAGATATGAAGGGGCCTGACCATGAAGAGCTTTATAGGTGAGGAGGAGGATTTTAAATTCTATTCTACATTTTACAGGGAGCCAGTGCAGAGAAGCTAGTACAGGAGAGATGTGATCTCTTTTTCTAGTTCCTGTCAGTACTCGTGCTGCAGCGTTCTGAATTAATTGGAGCGTTTTAATGGACTTATTGGGCCAACCTGATAATAAAGAGTTGCAGTAATCCAGTCTTGATGTAACAAATGCATGGATTAGTTTTTCTGCATCTGTCTGTGATAGTATGTGTCTAATTTTTGTAATATTACGTAAATGAAAGAAGGCGGTCCTAGAGGTCTGCTTTATGTGGGAGTTAAATGACAAATCCTGATCAAAGATAACTCCAAGATTCCTGACAGTGGTGCTAGAGGCCAAGTTAATGCCATATAGAGTAACTATATCTTTAGACAGTGAGTCTCTAAGGTTTTTGGGGCCAAGTACAAGAACATTAGTTTTGTCTAATTTAGATAATTGAGTAATTTCATCATCTGCATAACAATGAAAGTTAATGAAGTGATTAGTAATAATGTTGCCTAAGGGAAGCGTATATAAACTGAACAAATATGTTGTATAGGTTTTACGATTATCTTGCCAGATTGAACGTGATTCTAATAATTTCGAAGAACGCCATTTCCTTTCAGATTTCCGCACTTTTTGCTTTAATTGGCGGGTTTGGTGTTTGTACCACGGTGCTAGCCTTCTATGTTTTAATAATTTCCTTTTTATAGGGGCAATAGAATCTAGTGTTGTTTGCAGTGAGTCTGCAGCACTATTAATGAGATGATCAGTTTGGGAAGGAGTAAAGTTGTTATAGGACTCTGTTATATTCAGACATGGCATTGAATTAAACACAGATGGAATCTCCTCCTTAATTTTAGCTTCAGCACTGGTTTATAATCTTGTAATAGGAATTAAAAAGTTATTAAATAATGGTCATATAGAAATGGATTTTGTGGGAAGACTATTAAATGTTCAATATCAATGCTATATGATAGAACGAGATCAAAAGTGTGATTAAGGGTGCCCGGTTAGCTCAGTTGGTAGAGCTGGCATCCCATGTACCGAGGCTGAGTCCTTGCTGCAGCGGCCCAGGGTTCGAATCCGACCTGCAGCCCTTTGCTGCATGTCATCCCCTCTCTCTGCCCCCCTTACCTGTCTGTCCTCAGCTGTCACTATCATAAAGGCAATAAAAGCCCCCAAAAACTAAAACTTACAAAAAATAAAAACAATGAGTTGGTTTATTTACACTCTGACAGAAGCCAATTGAGTCTATTAATGAGATAAATGTGTTACTAAGACTGTCATTGTCAACATCCACATGAATATTAAAATCCCCTATAATAATTACTTTATCTGTTTTAATGCCTAAACTTGATAAAATCTCAGAGAATTCAGATGAACAATCAGAGTACGGGCCAGGAGCGCGGTACACTATAACAAACAGAACTGGCTGCAGTGTTTTCCAGGCCGGGTGAGAAAGACTAAGAACAAGGCTTTTAAATGAATTATAATTTAGTTTAGGTTTAGGATCAATGAAAAGGCTTGAATTATATATGGCTTTTTATTAGGTTTTTATGTTTAATTCCTCTCGTTTTTACTTCTTAAAATGTTTAGGTGGTTGGGGGACAGACACAGTCTCTATGAGTAATTGATTAATTGATTGATTATCTCTTAGTTTACAATGGTATAAAACAGAAAGGCAACAAAGCCATTTTTTAAAATGAAATGAATGTTATAGTAAATAAAGTAGGGCTATGTAGTGAACAATATGACACACCTTAGGAAGCCATAAGCTGTTTGAACACAGTACTCTACCTCGAACATCTACTAGGCTACTTGTTCAGATAAACAAACACTGACATTGTCTCCGAATGAACAGCAGTATTTCATTGCTTCGATAAATGAATCAAAGTTCATAAACAATGCTGCACAACGTAGTTTCCTATCAAGAAACTCAATATCATTCACCACTTGTGATAATTGATCTGCTATTGTGTGTTTTTTTTAATTGGACTGGCATTTTGTCCTTATCTACTAATTTACTAGGTTTTATAAAACAGTTGGTCTTTAAAGGGAGTTAGATAAAGTTCGTTACCTATTTAAAATGGAAGGATTGCCATCATTTTGTTGGAGAGTTTCAAGATAGAGAGTGTTTTATTAAAATATAAAGATTACAAGATACATTTTTATTTGTACACAACAGAATGCTTTATTTTGGGACCTGACAGCAGCAATAAAATACTGAGCACTTAAAGGACCAGTGTGTAGAATTTACTGGCATTTAGCAGAGAAGTTGCAGACTGCAACTAACTGAACACCGCTTCCGTCAGTATTTGATGACCTGGGAATGGGAATGGGCTATGAAATGTGTAGGAGAAACTACGGTGGTGACAAAACCTGAGAAAAAAACATTAAAGGCTCCTTCTAAGGCCAGTGAGTGTCCGTTCTGGACTACTAGAGAAACATGGCTGTTGAACATGGTGAAAATGCAAACTACTCGCCTGTGAATATCTCGCATCAAAACTATTCTCACTTGCAGCACTGAAAATGTACGACACATTACAATAAAAGACAAATCCAAACACATATAGAGCAGACCAAGCAGGACAGGGACTTGTGGAAAAACGTAGCAGCTTGCAGAGCACCCAGGGGTCTTGGGGTTCACACTGCAGCACTGAACGGCTGGCAGATCGCATTCACCAGGTTCATCTCTACCTGTTATTAATACATTAAAACACCTAAGTCAAATACTAAACTAATTAAGGCAGTGGCAGACCAGCAACTCCAAATTAGTTTTTGTGGGCTTTGTAGAGAACATAGATGATATATCACCACCACAAGTATATCTGTGAGGAGAGCCTCATTGGTCTTTGTGGTGGTTTTTTACTTTTTTATATCATGCTGTATTCACCATCTATGATTCTATGTGCTGTGTAACACATAGCATAGCAACACTATAATGTAATGTCATGTAACAACAACATCCAAGCCACGGATAGTGTGCAAGACATGTACAAAACATGAAGGTAATGTTGGCAGACTTCTCATTTTTAGCTGTCGGTGATCGTTAGATCAACCACCACCAAGTTGTACATTATTATGATCTGTAGCTAATTAATATTTATTCTGGGATATCATCAAAATCAAATTGGATGTTGTCCTGTTAAAGTGCTCTTAGAGTTAGACGGAGTCTGATCATGCTTGTGGTTTCTTAACATAGTAGAGGGCACGATCTGCGTTAGTCTAGTACAGCAACATCAATTTTGCCGCAGTCCACGGTTTGATGCTCGCTCTCGCTGCACACAGCAGATACTTTTTCAAATGCTGTCTAAATGTCTTGTCCCGTATCCCGTACACAATAGGACTGACAAACCTGGGAGATATCTGGATGATGATGTAGGAAATAAAGATGAGATGTAAATAATGTTTGGGAAACCAGTAGAACAGAGTCTTGTTAAACACAGGAGACACATAGGTTAGCATGCACAACAGTAGCTGAAAGCCATGGAGCAGGATGGTATTTCTGGTCTTATTTGCATTTCCATCAGGTGATTTAGCAGCTTTAGCATCTTTAGCAGCTAAGAAGATCCTGATGTAAGTGTAGAAGAGAATGAGCCAAACACCAACAAGATAAATTATATAGGAAACGTCCCTCTTTTTCAAGTGTATAGGGTGTCGGAACATGGTATTCTTATCACAAAAGATTTTGGAATAAAAAAACTGAACAGGCTCTGTTGCAAAAATAATGAACACATCTGGCAGGGTTGAGACTGCACTCATGGCCCAAATACATCCAATCAGAATATATGTTCTTTTGATTGTACACAGCTTAGCGTGCCGCAGTGGTAAACAAATAGCAATGTAGCACTCCACTGCCATGACAGCTAAATTTAATGGAGTGTTCAGGGTGGTGAAGACAGCTAAGGTAACAATGAAGCAACAAAGGGAAACATTAATTTTGTAGAAGATATAACTTGAAACAAACAGACTTATTGTCGTAGTCAGCTGGATCATATCGTTCACCACCAGGTGGATGAATAGGATGTAACGAGGATTCACATAAAATATCTGAAGGAGAGGAGAAGAAAAGAAAGAAATTTGTCAATTAAAACATTTCATCTTTCTTTATTACTTTAAAACATCAGTTTCTTTCTTGTGCTTGATTGACAATTGATTTATTAATTTCTTAAGGTGCCCAGCTCATATGGGCTTACAACATACCAGACAGCAGTGACAAACAGAATGGCCACATGACAGGACATTAGAAGCCAGTTGCTGCAGTCTTCTACTAAAAGTAATAACTGATAATTAAATAATAATGATCTTGACAATAATGACAGTGATAATGATAATAAAGTATTCTGACCTGGTGTTTTCTGAAGGTGTGAATCAGGGTACCATTGATATAATTGATGGTAAGACCAAGAGCCAGAACAATCACATTTTTGGCCACAGCTGTGCTGTAAGAGTCTCGTTGACTCTGAACACTGGACACGTTGTAGCCATAAGATGAGGAATTCATTGAGCTGATTTGAGGAGCCTGTAAAACTCTGTTACACAGGAACATTTAATAATATTACTACAAATGTAAAGTTTTAATCTATTGTTCTTTGTATTAGTCACAAGTTATAATTATTCACAGACAGTGAAGAAAATATAATCAGAACTGGGACATAAATGTTTCGAAAAAATAAGTAGTATTAAACAACATCATGATAACAAACTGCAGTAATACAGTGTGATAGAAACAATGACATAACTACCTCAGATAACAGTTCAGTCTCTTCTTTCACGGTCACAAAATGAGCCTGAAATCAGTTTCATGACTTTATATTAAGTAGGATGATGCATGAGTCAACCCATGAGTCTGAGATGACGTCTTTGTGATATCCATGTATGGGTTAGGCATCAGTTATTTTTAGGTAATTGGACCTTGACCTGTAAGTCCAGACTATATTTTATATATATATATATATATATATATATATATATGTGTGTGCACAATATATGCAATATATGCAGTGCACCATATTTTTTTGGCCTTTTATTGCCTTTATTGGATAGTTACAGCCGAGGACAGACAGGAAAGGGGGGCAGGTCGGATTCGAACTCTTGGCCCCTGCAGCAACTCTGTACATGGGTCACCAGCTCTACCGACTGAGCTAACCGGGCGCCTATACATCACTTATCTTAAGACTTTTAATCTTAGTATTTAATGGTTGTTATTTTATAATAGTCATCGCTCCTCTCCTGCCGCTCCATGATTAGTTTCACCTTCGTCTTTGTCTGCATGTCAAGTGTTCCTGTAGTGACCAACGGCAACACTGAAAACTATTATAATAATATGGTCATCTGTCACATTAATTGATATTGGAGTATATTGAATAAACCTGTGTGATCCTGGTAGGGTCTCCTAAGACAAATCAGTAAGTCTGGGGTCAGACTAAGAGCGATTCATCCAAGGCAGCGTCCTGCCAGATGAGACGTGTGGTCAAAGATGCTAAGCAGAGGTATGAAGATAGAGTAGCGGTTGGAGCGTGACCTGCTCTGCTCAGGACTGTAAAGCCCTTTAGAGAGTGGTGCACTTGGCCAAGCGTGCAGTTGAAGTGTCAGTTGTAAGTAGTTAGTAAAATCTCAAAATAATTGAACTGTCAATTAAATAAACATCAGCTGACAAGTCTCACTTGAGATGAGTGGGTGACCTGGTAGCTCATCTGGTGGAGAAAACACCCTGTGTACTAGGGGTGAGTGCTTTCAACCGTGGCTCAGGTTCGGTTTCAGCCTGCAGTGCTTTTTTCTGCAAGTCTCTTTCCTGTCTCTCAGAGGCTGTTTCTGTCAAGTAACGGCATAAAAAGCCAGAGAAAAAAGTTCAGTGAAAATGTGCGATGACAGCACTTGAATGGCTCCCCCTGGGCAAACAAATTCAAAAGTCAAGTTAATTGTTGTCAAATCATGTTTATACTGCAGATCTGATCTCTACATTACTATACACAATGATCTTACATGTTCTATTCTGAGCCCAGTCTTATCATTGCTTTATTACTTTAATAAGTTTTGGTCATTTTATCTGTTTCATACATTTTTAAATTTTGGTACGATAAAAGTCTGACTTCCACTTACCAACATCTCAGGGTTCTAGAAATATTATTTTATGTTGGTGTTGTTTTTGGATGTCTGTTTACTGTACACAGATACCTTTTAAAGTACTTCCTGAAAGTCTTGTCTCGTAACCCGTAGACAATAGGACTAACAAAGCGAGGGAGGATTTGGTTTATAATAAACATAACAAAGTATATAGATCTCACCACTGCTGGGAACAAGTATGTCAGCACTTGAGATAACATAGGTCGCACATAAGACGTCATACACAGCAGCACCTGAAAGCCATGAAGGAGGATTGTGTTTCTGGCCTTTTTAGCATCTGCATTAGCAGCTTTGGCCACAAACAAAATTCTCAAGTAACTGTAAAACAGAGTGAGCCAAACCACAACCAGAAACAATATGTGGGATACATCCCTCTTCTTTACAGTGTAGGGGCTCCTAAACACTGAATCCCTGGAACAGTAAACTCTTGAATTTAGGAACTCCAGAGGTTCAGTGGCCAGAAGGATGAAGACATCGGGTAGGACAGAAAGTGAACTCATTGTCCAGATTATGCCAATTACAATATATGTTCTTTTGACCGTACATATGTTGTTGTAGCGGAGGGGAATGCAGACTGCGATGTAGCACTCTGCTGCCATAAAAGCTAGGTTCAGAGGGGTGTTTAGTGTAGTAAGAATCGCTGGCAAAATGAGGAGACAACAGAGGGAGACATAGATGGTGTTGAATGCGTAGGCGAAGATGAAGAGGGAAATGCTGGTTGTCAGCTGGATCATATCGTTGAACACCAGGTGGATGAAAAGGATATAGCGAGGGTTCGACTTGAAGATCTGAATTGAACAACAGAATTAGGTTAGACTGCAGTATATTGCAAATCTTTAACTGCTTTAAAGTCAGAGATGATTAGTCCATCATTTCATTAAACAGAAATAAACAGAAAAATAAAGAAAAAACTACTTTGCTAATTTCAGTAACTTTCAAGCAAGAATACCAATTCTCCTCCCAGTTTCTTCAGTGTGAGGATGTGCTGCTTTTCTTGGTTTTCCATCATTTTATTCATATAATTATGGACCAGATCCTTTCTTTGGATTTCAGACAGACATCACAGAAAGCAAGGCATCGTGATATGGTGTATAGTGATGGGCCTTTTTCACTTTTGAGACATAACAGTTATTACCAAATAATTGATAATGAAAATATTTGTACAGTAACATGCTTTTTGTGCATACAATTTGCAATGTTACTGTACCTGTAAGAGTTTCACTACATTTCACTGACACCAGAATTATATAGGGGTCAGTGATTGTGTCACCAGTATTTATTTTTTACCACCGGATTTGTACAGTCCAGTATTAATAAGTAAATAAATACTTTTCCATTATGTTGTCTCCACTTTATAATAAGTTCTAAGTATTCTGTGCGAAATATTCAAAGTACACATGCATAGGAGATAGAAAACACTGTTTAAAACAGTTTTTACACTATATAACTTGAAAGGAAAGGAAAAATACCTTTAAAGCCCCGTTTGTGAGAAGGAGAATCACAGAGAAGCAAAGGAAAAGAGGGTAGAGGTGTTTTTAACTTCATACACATTGTACATATTCTACCTTTCTTACCAAAGTATAAAAACCAGTGGATTTAATAAATTACACACATGATGTGTGTTGAATGTGTGGACCATGGTGGCATTGATGTAGTTGATGGTGATGCCGAGGATAACAACAGTTAAATTCCTGCTGAGAGCTGTAATTAACATGTCCAGGTGATTCACTGCTTCTGTCACATTGCCGTCCACAGGTGTGAAATTCATGTCAGCAGCCGATTAACTTGTTTAAAAAGCAAAAGATACAGTGTGAAATAATTAAGCTAAAACATTTTTACAAGGTTGCATTCTACTTAATTATTCAAAAGTGAAGCAAATAATTCAATACTGACCTCAGATGATGGATTCTGATCGGGAGATTAATTCGGACTCAATATGTTTGTGCTATTGCATGAGTTTATATAAAGGAAGTACATGAAGTATGTGTGTATGCAGATCTGAAACACACCCTCATAGCAGAGCTAGACCGATACATCGTCCAGGCAGATATATCAGCCAACATTAGCTTATCACAGTTATATCGGTATCACTGTATGTCGGGCACTAAGTAACACGAAACTGCAGTATAGAAAATACCTAAACGTGTTTAAGATAATTTAGAAACTGTGTCACCATTAGATTAGAACATTGACAAAGTTTATATTTCAATTCAACATGCCCCACTCAATACAATACTTTAATACTAGTGAAGATGTAAAATGTCTTAATTAAAACAAATCAAAAAAAGAAAGAAATTGAAATGCAATACACATTGAGATGGTTAAAAATAGCAAATATGGCATGATTATCTTTTCGTCTTTTCCGACTGAACAAATTGTTTTTCATTGTGACATTTTGCTGAAAGCTAAGGGTGCATTCACCCCTAGCTTGTTTGGATTAGCTGTTTTGAAACCTGAAGTGTTTCACCCTCAGGTTCACTTCATTTATGTATATGTGAACACAACTGCACTAGCATGCTGGGCAAAACAAGCAGAAATGGAATCTAATATAGGTATGTCTTCATTAGTGTATAATCACCTGAAAATAAGAATAGTTGTGTTTCTGTTACCTTAGAATGAGCTGCTTTTATCAACAGAGTCAGCAGCCAGAAACCTGAACCTCTAATAGGGCCTTGCACATTTTTCTCGAGTTTCACGGCCACCGCTTTCAGACCGTGTGAACACAATCAAACCGAAGGCCAAATGCAACAATTGTATTAAATGAGTTGCTGATTTAGAGCAAAGCCAACAAACTACAAGTCTGAAAATGCTCTTATTTAAAAAATATCTCATTTGGCATCAGAAACAGTGAGCAGGAGGAATGGAGAACCACCAGGAGCTGAGGACTTTCTGCAGTTTAATTGTGGCATGAGGAGAAAAAAAAATACAATTACAGCAGTGATAACAAAACATTTAATGTATTTATTCATTCTTGGATACCAAAGACACACAGTTAATTTAGTCAGCTGAATGTATCCAATACAGGACAGAAATGCTGGAACTGCAACTGAAGTAGTAACACTGTGACAGCCACGTATCTCTCTTCACTCTTATATGTGTTGAAGTGTTTCACATAGGAGTGCAGCAGCAGACCTTGATTTGTCTGCCTGAACTGGTTTATAGACTTTCCACAGGTGACAATAAGAGATCTGAATAATTATTATCTCCAACCAAATATGTGTCGAGCAACAGTAAACAGTCAATTAACATACAATTAGGACAAACATTGTAACAATAACAGTAATGGGGCTGAAATTAGTGATTATTTTCACCATCTGTCAGCTGACTATAAAACAGAGAAAAGCATAAAGCATCAATAAAAATGAGACTTAATTGCTACAATATCAACACAAGGCATTAATGTACCTATAATCACTCCATTTTGACCAAACTTGTTGATATTTTTGTTCGTTGAAATGATTAACACTGAATGAACACTACACTAACTTGACTTGAATCTGGAGTTGTAACAGCTGTGTTTAAATGTTACAGTGTCTGCATGAGAGCAAACCCGGAAGTTCTGCAAAGCTTTCCTTTTACTTTTACTTTTATTGGAAAGATCTTGATGTTTTTGAAAGGTTGCTTACAGTATGGTGTATTTACACAACAGATACCTTTTAAAGTACTTCCTGAAAGTATTGTCTCGTATGCCATAGATGATTGGACTGATGGATCGTGGCAGGATCTGTACAATAACATAGAAAGCAAAGAGGGAGTCTGTATAATTCACAACGAACCATTTCCTCACTACATCTAATAACTGGGGGGCTGCATATGTTGCCATGCACAGCAGCAGCTGAAACCCATGGAGGAGGATTGTGTTTCTGGCTTTCTTAGCATCTTTGCTCGCAGTTTTTGCAGTGAACAGAATTCTGAAATAAGTGTAAAAGATAGTGATCCAAACTATAACTAGAAACACTGAATATGTGATATCCCTCTTCTTGATGATGAGGGGACCTGGGAAGGCAGTTTGTCTGAGGCAGAACACTCTGGAATAAAAGAAGTCCAGAGGCTGCGTGGCCAAAGTGATGAAGAGATCAGACATAACAGAAAACATGGTTGTTGTCCAGATTAAACCAATCAGCAATAACGTTCTCTTTATGGTGCAGATCTGTACGTGGTGGAGGGGGGCGCAGATGGCGATGTAGCACTCCACCGCCATGCAGGCCAGGTTCAGAGGTGTGTTTTCGGTGGTGAAAAGAGTAAGCAGGATGAAGGCGCAACAGAGGGAGACGTTTATTCTGTAGACAGTGTAGCTGATGACAAACAGGATGACGGTCAGCATCACTTGGATCATGTCGTTGACCACCAGGTGAATAAAAAGGATATAGCGTGGATTCATATAAAATATCTGGAAGGTAGAACAAGAGGAAATGATTAACAAAAGAGGGAGAGTCTTTTTCTGTTGACATGAACAAATGGTATTGTTTGTGGTAACTTTTTCTTTTTTGTGATCTATATCTGGATAAAGACAGCTGATCCACAGGCCTTTGCATTTACACCTGGTGTGACTAAGCATTCTTGTTAATTGATGGAGGTTTGTTGCGGCCAGTGAAGGTGACGCTCTGTGACTTGAACTGCTCTCATTGGCTGTGCTTGGTTTGAGTTGACCATAGCCTGGAACAAGGGCAGCTTCCTGATCGCACACATTGTCATATTACAGATAAATAGTATACTAGTTGTGATGTTTCTGAAAACATTTTAAGTTTGAAATAGTCAATACAGTAACAGAATCTTGATTCATATTAGATCAGCACTACTTAGTTTGACAGTTAGATCTGAGATTTGTGTGTTATGCTGGACAGACTCACTGACTCACAGACTCACAGGGTGTCAATCACAAGGTAACCACGCCCTAAAGCATACCCTGATTTATCATCTATTTTGCTTTAAAAACGGGACATAATTTACTAAATGAACATCATGCTGTGTGGAAGAGAATGTAAAACTGGACATTGAGACCATAAACTCATCAAGAAACTTTTTTCTGAGCTTATAAGTCAAGTGAGAAGTTGGGTAATTTCTCCCCAAGGCTCAGTTCTATCTGACTTCTTTTTTGCAGCCTGTGGAGCTGCCCCCTGCTGGCCATTAGAAATAATGCAGGTTTAAGACACGTTGGCTCCACTTCACAAACCCAGAAGCTCTGTCAACTTATTATATACTGTCACTGTTAGGCAGTTGGCTACATCATCAACAATACAAAGATCAATAAGTGGACATTTTAGATTAAAGTGCTGCGATTTGTGTGGAATGTTCTGTTTGAGTAGCTGTAGCCCTATCTTAACTTAATCTTATTTGTTGAAAATAATCACTAACATGTAATTGTGTTATTAAAGAGTTATGTACAGGTAAAGGGCTTAGCAGTGACTCATTATGACAGTAATTAGTCAGGTAGACCCTGAGTGAAATGCTACATGCACATTGTTGTATGTCTATGGTTCTTGATGTCAATTTTAATTTCTATCTGAAATAAATTAAAAGGGGATCAGACCTGGTGTTTGGTGAAGGTGTGAATGAGATTTGCGTTGATGTAGTTGATGGAGATACCGAGAACCACAACAATAACATTCTTGGCCACAGCTTTAGAGAAGGAGTCTGGATCCCGACCCACCGCTGTCACATTGGCAGATGACACGTTCATCTCTTGAAAGCTGAAGTTTGCCTAACAGAAAATAAAATAATAATAATATACAGTTATTAGTAAATGTAATGTCTGCAATAATTATAGAATACAACAAATTTAAAGAATTGGACCACACTGATTAAAGGACAATTTAACAACACCAGTTTTAAGAAACAGTTTGAAAAAATACTACAAATATATCTTGAAATAATATTTCTAATTGAGTTATTTCAATGAAATGAAATTATAGCATACTGGTATTTCTAATCCATTTTACCATTTCAAAAGAAACAACATTAAACAACCAAATCTTTTCATTTATTACATTTTTATAGATCTATATAACATCCTTCATTAGGTCAGACATTACTTCCATTTATATTATCATACATTTCCGTTACTACGTAATACAGTCATGCAAACTGTAGCACATGTATGTGTATTATCATGTTTCCATGAAGGCGTCACTTCACATTATATTATGAAGTGCAGCATAAGCTTTCACAGTGAATCTAAAACATACTCTATTTAGTAATGCATGCTATCATATGTAAACAACACATATATGACCATTACCTTAATGATTCATAATGAACTAATCCGTTATCGATTGTTCCTGTTGTACTTTGACGATTTACACCAGAGTGAGGGGGGCTGTATTACTCATAAATATGGTCATAAATAATTAAAATCCAAACAAAGGTTCTGCTAAAGTCAAAACCAGTTATACATTTTTGTTACAAGCAACCCAGTGGTCCCAGCAACCATTCCCATTTCAACTGAATGCAGCTGAAGATCTTACTTCGCATATTAAAATAATGGTAACTGTACAATATCAAGTGTACATGTCTGTGTCGTCATAAATATAAATAGATGTAGTCTATTAGTAGTTCTAGCATGACAACAGTTACAGAAGAAGGACTTACACTTATAAATATGCATACATTTTTTAACTAACTTGTATTGTTCAACCTACAGTATTAAGTGAAACCTTCCCACTAAGTTTAAACTGAGCTATGTTTGAATTTAAACACACCTGGTGCAACATCTTACTGATGAATAAGGATGGATTAGTATTTATCATCAAACTGTTTATTACACTGTATAATGATAAATTTGCATGTGTACCTTATAATATCAAAAGTTTTGACAACAGTCCAACATCTGCTATTGGTACAACATTTTGGTGTTATTTCTTTTTTTGAATCATCTCCAAAAGAAACTATCCATAGCAGCACATTTAGAACCTGTGTGACGACTTAAAATTAAACATAAAAGAGATAAAAGATGAATTACGTATAGAGAAAAAAAAGTGTGATAATGGAAACATTTGTTGAAAGAAACTAATCATTAACTTAAGTTAAAGTCATTTTTAGCAGGAACACATTTTTAAAAAACAGTCCCAGCTTTAAAAATGTACATTTCAGTTGTTAAGAATTACTTATAGTCTCATCTAATAGAGTCTGAACATTGTTCTAGAAGTGTGAATGAGAGGAAATATAAAAAGTTCTGCAACAGGAATAATTAATCACATTTAACAATCATTGAAAAATACATAACAAACAGGACTGTGTACATTTGTTTGCATTTTGTACTACAACCAGCAGGTTACTCAGTTAATAATTGTCATTGTCATTTTTAGATATATGAGCGCAGTGTGCAGTTGGTGGCACTTACCTTAGTTATTGCATTTAGACAAGGATACCAGCATAATGGCGCCAGTAAATCTCTGACTTTATATCTGATGTGTTGAACCCATACACAGACCTGTGGGTAGTAGGTGGGTGTGTATGTGCACCTATATTTGTGCATACAAGTGTGTGTGTGTGTGTGCGTGTGTGCGTGTGTGTGTGTGTTGAAGTGCAATCTGCAACCTCCCTGCTCGAAGCCACTAAATCCTACACACTGGTCCTTTAATGCCAATTAGTTTAAAGGCAAAATGTATTTTTACAAACTTACAAAATGTAACTTTCAAGCAAGGACCAGATTTTTTTTTTTAAATGAAAATCTTAATTTGCAAAACTAAACTTTGAGTAATATACCTAAACGTTTTTCCAACATAGAAGAATAACATGTACATGCACATTAAATTCATAAACTAAACATGACCAATTTCAGTTATTCTGACCAAACTTATATTTTGCACATTGTACAGCATTATCTCTGAATAACTCAAAATTCCGTACAACTTCTGCAGGTAATTTTCAGTGCACATAAACATCACACCTTAAATGGTTGTTTAGTTTACGTTGACTTTACACAGAAACCTCTTCAAGTACTTCCTGAAAGTATTGTCTCGGATGCCATAGATGATTGGACTAATAGATCGTGGCATGATCTGTACAATAATATAGCAAGCGAAGAGGGAGTCTGTATAAGTTGTAGGGAACCATCGCAGCAGAGCATCTTTCAACTGGGGCGTTGCATATGAAGCCATACACAGCAGCAGCTGAAACCCATGGAGGAGGATTGTGTTTCTGGCTTTCTTAGCATCTCTGCTAGCTGTTTTTGCAGTGAACAGAATTCTGAAATAAGTGTAAAAGATAGTGATCCAAACTATAACTAGAAACACTGAATATGTGATATCCCTCTTCTTGATGATGAGGGGACCTGGGAAGGCAGTTTGTCTGAGGCAGAACACTCCAGAGGCTGCGTGGCCAAAGTGATGAAGAGATCAGACATAACAGAAAACATGGTTGTTGTCCAGATTAAACCAATCAGCAATAACGTTCTCTTGATGGTGCAGATCTGTACGTGGTGGAGGGGGGCGCAGATGGCGATGTAGCACTCCACCGCCATGCAGGCCAGGTTCAGAGGTGTGTTTTCGGTGGTGAAAAGAGTAAGCAGGGTGAAGGCACAACAGAGGGAGACATTTATTCTGTAGGCAGTGTAGCTGATGATAAACAGGATAATGGTCAGCATCACTTGGATCATGTCGTTGACCACCAGGTGAATAAAAAGGATATAGCGTGGATTCATGTAGAATATCTGGAAGGTAGAACAAGAGGAAATGATTAACACAAGAGGGAGAGTCTTTTTCTGTTGACATGAACAAATGGTATTGTTTGTGGTCTATATCTGGATAAAGTCAGCTGATCCACAAGCCTTTGCATTTACACCTGGTGTGACTAAGCATTCATATAAAATATCTGGAAGGAAGGAGGAAGAATGTCTGAGGTCAGAGCTATAAGATTCAAACAGAGTCATCCTCAAAAAGTCAATCACTGGAGGAAAAAGCGTCAGAGCAGCCAACAGACTGGAGTTGAGCTCTGCTTCCATCACAGTTAGTTTTTTGGTTTGTGGTCATTTTGAGACTCAGTAAAGTTTACAGCCTGCCATACTGTTGCTCTGTGTGCAATAATGCAGCTAAATAAACGTGCAGATATTTGACTGACAACATGTGAGTGGGTCTTCTCGACTGATGACTCAGAGCCCTATTTAAAACATTCAAAAATTCAACCAAAGTGTCCTTCCACATTTATCAACAGCTACAAGAAGTAGAGCTGCTGATCATATCTTGAATTCATTATTCATTCATCATGGTCAAATTATTCTTCATCATCCTCACATACAAAGGAATACTACACCTGGTGTTTGCAGAAGGTGTGAATGAGGCCTGCATTGATGTAGTTGATGGAGATCCCGAGAACCACAACAATCACATTCTTGGTCACAGCTTTAGCGAAGGAGTCTCGATACTCTATGACCATGGTCACGTTGGTGGATGACACGTTCATCTCTTGAAAGCTAAAAAAACAGAAAGAAAATAAGAACATTCATATATAGATATACAGAATACAACAAATACCTTATAAAGACAACACTGATTTTAGGAGGATCACACTTTTACCAGCACTATTTTGTGGTGAAACACCAAGAGAAAGAAGAGTAATAACACATTTTTGAAGACTTATTCATGATCATAATGTATTTTCATCTACAACAACAACACGGAGACAGAGACAATGACAAGATGGGTGATAAATTCATAATGGCATTTACATCTATTTATGAAAGCCCCTGAAAACTGCTTCTTAATATCAAAAGCTGCAAGAATAGTCTTACATCTGCTGTTGGTACTGAAATGTTGAGTTAAAAAGAGGATAATTCGGCCATTCAGTAACAGTCCTCACCTCATCCAGAGCATCATCTTAAAAAGTAAAAATCAATATATCAATCTTGTGATTGAGTGGAATTCATTTAAAATCATAAAAATTAAAGTATGATAATGAAAATAATAACAGTGGTTCTTATGTAATTTTTGTCTTTCTAAACCCTCATAAAATCCTCATGTTAAAGCTGAGCACAAATTAGAAAGTAAAATGTTTTTTTAAAGACCATCCTCAACTCTTTTGTTATCAATATTTGTTGTAGAATAAGATTAAGAGTCTTGTCTTTCAAACTGTCCATTTACAATTTACATTAACAGATATAAAACAGTGCAAGTAAAAAATATTAACATTAAACTTTGTTCTACCGTAGTGATAAAAGATCAGTCCAGTCACAATTCAAAGGTATCGTGGGGTTCCCATCAGGTGGCACTTACCTTAGTTAATGCATTTAAACCAGGACACAAACAGTACGTCTGTAGAAAATCTCAGACTTTATATGGGGCGTGGTGGCAGATGTCTCTGGATTCCCTGACATCATTTATGTTGTTTTGGCGTGTCTTATTTTAACAATCTCCTCCTAGCAAGCAACACTTCTGTGTCAATCATAATCTGATGGTGCTGTGACATGATGTGACCACTGCACTGTGCGACTCATGTGGGCCCGTTCTTCGCTGCTTGCAGCTTTAATATCCTTTTTCCTTTTTCAGGCTCAAATATGGATTTAAAAAGATGTGAATCTGCATTTGCACAATAATAAATGTAACTAAACCTAAAAAGCAGAGGCCTCATGTACAAAGTAACAGAGACGTGTTTAAAAGTTCATTCATCAGCAACATCTTTTTGTGATTGAATTGTAATAATATAAAACGTTTATTAAATGAAATTTTGATACTGGTGCTGAATGACAACATAATATACTTTATTTCAATGAACAGATTTCAAATTGTGTCCTAGGAGTCTGAGAAAAAGTATAAAAGGTCAAAAGGAAAACCACTGAACAAACATTAAAACTTCAAGGGAAAAATGCACCACAAACAGGTAAAATTATTATTTAAAACAGATTTTAATAAATAAGAATAAGAATGACAGGGGTCAACAATAAGGATTGCCCGGGGCAAGTAAAATGCAACTTTGGGCTAATAAATCTACAGACACTTGGCTGAAAACTTGTCCTTCTTTAATTCTATTGTGCCCTTGTTCAATTAAACAGAAACTAAGGAGTTAGACTTCTTGCTTCCTTCTCATCTCTGTTGAGATTTGCACAGGCTCATGTAAAGCCCTCTGTATGATAACCCATGAATTGATGCTTACTGTGGGCTCATTTTACACAACAGATATCTTTTCAGGTACCTCCTGAAAGTCTGGTCTCGTATGCCATAGATGATCGGACTAATGGATCGTGGCAGGATCTGTATAATAACGTAACAAGCAAACAGGGAGTCTGGATAGTTCTTAGGAAACCATTGCAGTAGAGCATTTTTTAACAGGGGCTCTGCATATGTTGCCATACACAGCAGCACCTGAAACCCATGAAGGAGGATTGTGTTTCTGGCTTTTTTAGCATCTTTGCTAGCTGTTTTTGCAGTGAACAGAATTCTGAAGTAGGTGTAAAAGATAACAAACCAAACTATAACCAGATACACAATATAGGTAATATCCCTCTTTTTGATAATGTGGGGATTTGGAAAAGCAGTTTCTCTGAGGCAGAAAACCCGGGTATTAAAGAAGTCCAGAGGCTGAGTGGCCAAGGTGATGAACAGATCAGGAAGAACAGACAACATGCTGATCGCCCAGATTAAACCAATCAGCATCAACGTCCTCTTGACGGTGCAGATCTGCACGTGGCGAAGGGGCATGCAGATGGCGATGTAGCACTCTATCGCCATGCAGGCCAGGTTCAGAGGAGTGTTTTCAGTGGCGAAAAGAGCAAGCAGGATGAAGGTGCAACAGACAGAGACATTTATTTTGTAGAGGATGTAGCTGATGATGAACAGCATGACGGTCAGCATCACCTGGATCATGTCGTTGACCACCAAGTGGAAAAACAAGATATACCGAGGATTCATGTAGAAGATCTGAAAGGTGGAAAGAAAACACAGGCGGGAAGTAAAAGTTTGTTTTACAGTAAGTGTACTGCAGCATTATACAGGAATAGCAATACTTGAATTGTTACTGTTCTCATTAGCAAATATTGTATTGATGGTTACATTAACTTAATGTTTTGCCATTTCTTACAATTTACTGTCAAATCATTGAAAGGTTCTGAAGACACCAGTGGCCGTTAAGTTTACTACAGTCATCGTCATATTGCTCGCACTCCCAGTCAACTCAGCCAGGCTGAATAACATTATCGGGGCCGCCCCGCAACGCCAGCCGATTGTAACCTGCACACGTCAAAGCCGGCCAGATCAGCCCCAGGAGTCTGGTTGGCTTGGTCAGTACTCCACTACAATAAACCCAATAAAATTCAGTTCATTTGACTGTTTTACTGTATTTACTGTTACTGTATTGTCCACCTCCGCCTGCTAGTGTTACAAAGCTGCTCTCCTTTCCAACTGCATCGGAGCATTTTGCTGTGATTGAAAATAAGGATGTGTCACTGTTAAAAAATATTTTTCAATGCATTTATAGTTGATAAACCCAGAATGATTTAGTTAAAACGCTATTGCTGATTGCAGTTTCAGAAGTGCTATTGTCCCAGTTAAACTTTCACTTTCAATCAATAATTTAAGATGATAAATTTAATGTTTATGAACCAGGACCTCCTGAATTTGGATTAAGTACAGTAGCTTGTAAATTTAGTAGGCTACACCTGTTATTTTTCAGATATCCACCGATCAGCCATAACATTATGAGCACTGGTTTCCCTGACTGGTCCCAGACCAACAGACTGCTCTGCACTGTGTGTTCTGACCCCTTTCTATCAGAACCAGCATTAACTGTTTCAGCAGTTTGAGCTACAGTAGCTCGTCTGTTGGATCGGACCACACGGGCCAGCCTTCATTTCCCACGTGCATCAATGAGCCTCGGCCCCCCATGACCCTGTCTCTGGTTGTTTTCCTTCCTTGGACCACTTTTGATTGTGCTTGCTTCTAACACATCAACTTTAATGACAAAATGTTCACTTGCTGCCTGATATATATATACACTATATGGACAAAAGTATCTGTTAATTCTTGAATTCAGGTGTTCCAATCAGACCGCTTGCCACAGGTGTAAAAAGTCAAGCACCTAGCCATGCAGTCTCCATTTGCAAACATTTGTGATGCAAAATAGGTCGTTCTGAAGAGCTCAGTGACTTCAAGTGTGGTACTGTGAATGGATGGCGCCTTTGCAATAAGACGGTTCATGAAATTTCATCCCTGTTGGATATTCCACTGTGATATTATTAGAAAGTGGAAGCGTTTAGGAAAAACAGCAACTCAGCCACAAAGCGTAAGACCACTTAAAATCACAAAGTCAACTACTGCTAAGGCACATGGTGGAGGGATTATGGTTTTTCAGGGTTTGGGCTAGGCCCCTTATATCCAGAGAAGGGCTATGTTAATGCTTCAGCATACCAAGACATTTTGGACAATGCTATGCTTCCAACTTTGTGGCAACAGTTTGGGGAAGGCCCTTTTCTGTTCCAACATGACTGTGCCCCAGCGCACAAAGCAAGGTCTATAAAGACATGGTTTGATGAGTTCGGTGTGGAAGAACTTGACTGGCCCGCACAGAGCCCTGACCTCAACCCCATCAAGCACCTTTGGGATGAACTGGAGCAGAGTTTGCGAGCCAGGCCTTCTCGTCCAACCTCATGACCTCATAAATGCTCTACAGAATAATTGGGCACAAATTCCCACAGAAACCCTCCAAAATCTTGAGGAAAGCCTTCCAAGAAGAATGGAAGCTGTTATAGCTGCAAAAGGGGGAACAACTCCATATATAAGAATATGTATTTGAAAACAATGTCATTACAGTCCCTGTTGGTATAATGGTCAGGTGGCCAAATACTTTTGTCCATATAGTGTATAGATAATCAGTGTTATTCACTTCACCTGTCAGTGCTCACTATGTTGCTGGTCGCTGTTTATTTAATCAACATTGAATATATTCTGCTGCTACATAATTAAAAGCATTGGATTCAACTTGGATTGGGATTTAATTAATGAAAATATTTCTAGCATATTTCTTTAGTAAATGTAATATTACTGCTTGCACATAATTAAAGGAATGTCATACCTGGTGTTTACGAAAGGTCTGAATGAGGGCTGCATTGATGTAGTTGATGGAGATGCTGAGAACCACAACAATCACATTCTTGGTCACAGCTTTAGTGAAGGAGTCTCGATACTCTATAACCACAGTCAAGTTGGCCGATGACACGTTCATCTCTTGAAAGCTGAAGATGTAACAAACGAGAAAACATAATGGTAAATAATGACGACAATTAAAGAGTACAAGAAGATATTGACCCACAGATGAGACAATCCACTGTTTTGTAACACAGGCAGTCCTAAAATTTAAGACCAGAACTTCCAAGAAAATATCATTATAAACCCTTATTATTAATATTATTAATAATAATAATATTATTATTATAATAATAAAATGATTATGATGTTTGTTATATCTTTTAAATATAATAAACAATATTATGATAAAAGCAAAACACATTTGTTAAACTGAAGAAAACATTTTAGTTGAATTTCTTATTGAATGTTATGTATCAAGGAAAATGTTAATGTAATATTTATGTAATATTTTGTACATCCCTAATGTACAAACTGTCATTATATATATATATTTTTTAATGTTTAAAAATTCAAGCTTTTTAACCTTCTTAATCATTATATTCCAAAAGAGCCTCACTTCACATTATTGTACATTATGTTTTGTGCATGAGAGGGCACCAACCGTGAGTCTAAGATATATACTGCTTAAACTGGATCATGACAATTTCCACAATTTGTTTTTATTATCTACAGTATTTAAATCTGTATTAATCATAAATGGTCAAATTGAAACTACCAAGTCAGAAGCAGCTGTTGTTGTGAGCTAAAAGCTGTGAACATTCATTTCTAACAATAAGAGAAAGAAGCACTCACCTCTGGCTCAGGTTCAGGGCCTCAACTTAAAAGATAAAAATAAGTGTGTTGTTATTTGAAACTGAAGTGAATTGCATTTAAAATGTAGCATATAGGATCAAAAAGAACATAAGAACAACTAAACAAATTTAGCTGAATATAGTTGTGATAGTTAAGGTCCTTTAAACAGAATTATCATAACTGTTTTGCTATCAATGATTTTTGCTGAATTAGCCTTGATGTCATGTTTATATTTGAGGTTTGAACCAAACTTGTGTCTTTTCATCGCTTTGTCCAGTAGACTCAAGAATCTGGATGAGAGAATTTAAAGTAAAAAGTGTCCTGCAACAGAAAAAATACAAAAAAACACACAAATGTTGTTATTGCATTCTGTAGACAACTATAAAGTTCAAAGCTATCAAAGTAACATTAATTAACAGACAAAAAGGTTGACGTCATTGTTGGTTCAATAATAATTGTTACTGAGACATATCGCAAACCATATGACTGCACAGTACTCACCTCAGTTAATGCTTTTTGACCAGAGACAGAGTTAAGACTTTATATATGGTTTGGTTGGCAACTGGAGGAGTGTGAGTGTGTGTGTATGCTGTTCGTATGCATGTAAATGAGTAAATCTACAAAATTGCAAAAATGAACTTAAAAAACTACCTTATTATACCAAAATATCATTTAAATAAATAAAGGACAACATGCACAATCTTTGGTCTATGTTTAATTCCAATATTTGGTCCGAAGTAGATTGCAAGTCCAGACTGAGAAACCTGAACATTGCTATGACATTCATGGTACCCAGAGGATGAAACCTACTGACTTTCCTTTAGCACCACCACACTTTTTTTGTGTGAAATTAGTTTTTTGTGTGAATTTGATAGAGACACACATTATTTGTAATTGAATTGAATTGTAATCACATTTGTGATCCTCTGACTTTGGTACCATCATAAGGTTAACCTCACTTTATACCTACAAGACTAATGACATCACGCTATCCACAATTAACAAATCTACAGAAAAAACAAAACAAAAACAAAAATCAAACAAACAATCAAATAAATAATACAGGTTACACACTCAGCGCGCCCCTTTGTTTAAAGCAGCAATAGCTGCAAGGATCAGGCTTTTCCCATAGCGAGCTTTCTTGCACCTCAGTGTTGGGTACCTCTACCCAGAAGGCAGTGGGGTGAGATATTGATTGGGTGGGTGTGTAATGTCCAGTTCTATTGTGGTTGCAATGCGTGAGATGGCCCTGTTGTTTAGTTCTGTGATATTGGGTGTGGGGAGTCCGATTATCTTGGCCGCTGTGTTGGTGACGCGTGTGAATTTTGCCTGGTTGGTGACAGTTAGCATGTTGTAGAAACAGGAGGAGCAGTATATGAGGATGGGCTGGATGATACTTTGATACAGTAGTAGGAGAAGATGGGGGGAAACATAAAGTCCTTTGAGTTTACGGATGACAGATCTAATCACAAAGTCTGCTGGCTCCTTTTGAAGATGTCAGTGGTGTGTTGGTTGAAACTAAGTTTATTGTCCAGTGTTACTCCAAGGTATTTAAAACTGTCAACCATTTCAACTGTTTGGTTATTGATAGTAATGGGGTGCTGTGGTTTCGGGGAAGCAATGATGAGTTCTTTGGTCTTACTGACGTTGAGGTGGAGATGGTTGTCCTCACACCATTTGCTGAAGTGTGTGATGGTGCTGTGGAAGTCGAGGACGGAGTGCTTGTCTGTGAATAGGGCAATGACGGCTGTGTCGTCTGAATACTTGGGGTAGGTGGTGATGGGTGAGGGACTGGTGCAGTCGTTGGTGTAGAGTGTGTACAAGAATGGGCCCAGCACACAGCCCTGCGGCGCTCCTGTGTTGATGGTGAGTGTAGGTGATGTGGTATTGCCCACCCGCACCGCTTGCCGTCTGTCGCTGAGGAAATTGTGCAGGAGATGGATCAGACAGGTGGAGACGTTGAACATGACAATGGTTTTTGCATAAACAGTAAACTTGTTGCGGTTTGATCTCTATTCACGTGACCAAACCTTTGAAACCAGGTTCCACAAAGCAGTGTTTTGAAATTGCCACTGTAACCGTTGCAGTGTAACCTGCCGGAACGCTTTTGCTGATGTAATTGTAATGACAGGGCCACACAGACAAATAGCTGTGCACGAACATTAGAAAAACAGCAGCAAGGGGCATCCTGATAGGTCACCTGATAGAGCTAGTGCCTCATGCAGCAGCCACGGGTTTGAGTCTGACCTGTGGCCCTTTGCTGCGTGTCATCCCCTCTGTCTGTCTTTCTTTCCTTCCCTGTCGCTCTTCAGCTGTTAAAAAAAAATAAATTAAAGGCAATTTATTTTTTTAAAGTATATTTTTGGGGCTTTTATTGCCTTTATTGTAGTGAGAGCTGAAGATAGACAGGAAAGGGGGGCAGAGAGAGAGGGGATGACACGCAGCAAAGGGCCGCAGGTCGGATTCAAGCCCTGGGCCGCTGCAGCAAGGACTCTACCCACTGAGCTATCCGGGTGCCCCGGCAATTTATGTTTTTAATCTTATATTTATCTATTTTTATACATTTTTTGAAAATATCTATGAGCTTCAACATTGTGGTGTCAGAGAAGGTCTTCTAAAGTAACACACTTATCATTTGATTTGATCATACAACGAGGGAGGAAATAGGGTTGGCCATTTTGATTGATTGTAATTTATAGTCATTGACTATGAAGACTTTATTATCTTCAAACCTAAAACTACAAAATCCTCTGAAATTGGAGGTCCATGGTCTAATGTGCAACTACTGTGGGGATCCTTGACATGAAAAGGTTTGGGAACCCCTGCATGAGGCTATAAACAAACTACACCACGGTCACAGGACTTCAACGTCACTACGACTAAACTTCCAATTTATAATTGAATCTGGTAAATAAATTTATCAAAATATAATTTTGTTTGATTAGATTTTAATTAGAATAATTTGTGTGATTTGTACTTTTGCCCCACTGTGTGATTTTTCTTTTTTAATGGTTAAATGTTTGACAGCTAACAGTGTGTAATTATAATGTAGGCGTTGTAATGTTAGTGCATCACTCAGTGCATTACTTCCTGGAACTTTTTTTGTCTGTTAAAAAACACATATTGTAACTTCCTCGGTTTAACAGTCCGGCCCCACACTTCCTCCAACATTGCACTTGCTTGAATAAACTTACTGTCGGCAGGACTTTGTTGCACGTTCCACAGGAAGGACTTTTGGGACCTCCTGACATTTTCACTAATCCTCAGTGTATTCAGGAAGTGAGTCATGCTGCAGGACACAGAACGAGCAACCATCTCATCAACACTCATTAGGCCCCATCAGTAAAGGTCACACACACTGGGGTAGCTTGTTATGTAGCATCCAGCATGCAGTGCACGCACACTCAGTATCAAAGGGATTTATTAGATATGTCTTCTGAGAGAGTTTCTCATCATTGTCATTAAAGGAATCTGCAATTAGAGTCTAATAGCTTGTGATATTTTAAATGTCCTTTTTAGTTAATGAAAAACAAGTTGCAGCATACTCAGTGGAGAACAGATGATTAAGTTCACTGACATTAACAAGGTTGTTTAAAAAATATCCTCTGTGGACAGCCGGTAATCCACAAGAGCTTTGTTCCTCCCGTCTGACTTGTTTGCTCTTTTATGAACTTTCATTATGAAAACAATTAACAGAAACTAGCCTTTAGAGCAATTCAAAGTTTGTTTGTGGTGATCACAACTTTACAGTGATGTTGTTGTTGCATCATTTCATATCAATAAAGTCACAAGAAAAGATCTGTGTTTATGAAGCAAATTCAGTCCTCTGCTTTCATCCTAAAGTTATCAAATTACTATTGACTACATTTCTAATATCCTGTGAACTCATCTATCATTAACATTCAATTATTTAGTCGATAGAAAGTAATTTTTGGATAACGTTATTCAGCATGGGTTGATTTGTAAACACTGAGCTAGTGAGTAGCATGGAGTCAATGGTCCAAATGAAACATAGGAACACTGTGGGTAGTAACGTCATTCTGAATATGATTGTAATTTATTTTCCTGCGTTCAGTCTAGTGTTTGTCACTTTTGGCCAAAGACCAGGATGATGCTCACTCATGTCCATGGACTGTGTACAAAGCACGAGCAGCATGACACTGGCTACAGTTCACTTAATGGTCACCATTGTCACAACCAACAATGGTTTACCCTAAGCTAGAAAAACGTTATATACCATTATATAATTTTTGGAAATGGCCAAAAACTCACTGGTTACATTTTCTCTAATGTGAGTCTGAAATAGGAATTCTTTTTTGTAAGAGATTGTAAACTGAATATCTCTGGTTTTGGCCGCCTGGTATCATCTTAAACTCTCGGAAATTGAGTATTTTTGTACTACGTGGTGCCATTTTATAGATCACACAATTAATCGAGGCGCTAATTAGGGATGTGCAAATCCAGCTTTTTCTTTCCTGCTATCAACCCCAAAACCCGACCTCAAGGTATCTGCCAATAGTATTGATCCAATACTGTACCAGTTCTGTGTTTCCACTGATGTGTAATCTGTATTCGTCACTGTGTGCAGCTCACTGGGATCCTTTCAATGGAAAATAACATTAATCTAGAGATTACTGTGGCACCAAAAACTGAGTCTGGTTCTTGTGACTGAATGCATCTAACCGAAAACTGAACTTTCATGATGACAAAGGAACTGTATTTGGGTTTGGACCAGTCGTGTTGTGGCTAACATCAATACCGATCTGGTGTATCTGATCGGTACCTCCCAAAAATGTGTCAGCAGATTAATCGTAATGAAATTGATTTTTCATTTCAGCCAAATTAACAAATCTTTTTAGTAGTAGTAGTAGAAATATTGTGATACTTCATGTTTATTGAAAAAGAAGAATGAAAGAAAGAAAGAAAGAAAGAAAGAAAGAAGGAAAACTCTGGAACAAACATGTCTTGCGTCACAGTCTACTGAGGAAATGTGCATAAGGTCACTGTTAGTAATGACGCTCTTTGTTTGAAAGCAGTAACTGATCCCCATGGAGCTGCTCTTTAAACACAGCAAATGACAGTCCACCAGGAATTAGCTTTCACTCACTCGCACTCGAATGTCTGCTTAGGCTTTCAAAAACAAAACTTACTGTTGACCCACTGAGAGCAAACCTTTGTCTTCAGGGTGCTGATCACCTTTCCTTGTGAAGAGATTCCCAACATTAAAAGTCTTACAAAGAAAAGTTAAGTTTGAGTTCCTTACAGTTGATCAACTCTTTTTTAAAACCTCTCTTCCAACACAAATATGAAATGTTGGACTTTCATCTCACCCTCATTGTGATATAAGCAGCTTATGTGGATTATGTTTTTAAACTAAGGATATGTTTGGGTTTTTGTGTTCATGATCAGAGTCTTGCAAATACAATCCAACATATGTTTCTGAGTACTTTTTATTTTAAGGGGACCATTATTTCCAAATTATATTTAGAGACAGTGTTAAATTGGTACTTTTCCAATTAATTAATTCCAATTAATGAATTACTACCTTTAAAAGTTATTTAGTTCGCTGTGTTGTTTTCAGGCAAAAACCTAATTCAACATTTGAAAAATGTTTCTAATAATGAATAAATCTTTGAATAACTGAGCCATTTTCTATGTAATTATACGTATTATTATTCCCATTTAAACTTTATTAAACCATTACAGACCACAGCCTTAACAAGTGTTACCTTGTTGTTGATTTCTTCATATTACAGCTGCACATAAGTTATAGTAACATTAATTTAGAACATCTCCGTTTTAATAAAACAGAACTTGAATGTCAGCTCTTTTAAATGGTTACCTATAATATTTTAATATTAAGAGTGCTGTAGTATTTATTAAAATATCCAAATAAATAACATAATAGATAATATTTGTGCAGAATATTTGTTATGACTCAGACCTGCCATGTGACAGATAGAGGAAATGATCCTTCAGTGCGCCCTCTCATTTCTAAACCATCTCAGGACACAAGGCCTTAAAAAACCTGTGAAGTGAAAAATGAAACAAGTGAAAAGTTCACTCTTTTATTGCCTTCTGTGATACAGGGACTCATCAGAAAAATACAAAAAGGTAAAGCTATTAGAAAATATACAAAAACATACAGGCAATCAAATATAAAGGGGCATACAATGGTGGTGGTATTTCTTTTTATACAAAACTACAAGAATGAGGCAAACTACCATAGTTAAGGTGGTCATTCATTTACATGCAGTACCCTGTGAGGCCTCTCATTCTCTGTTAGGCTAATGTGACGAGATTACGACAGACGGGTCAGGTCAGGCTGATGATAACTGATCACTTTAGGGTAATGTACACTAATATTTTAACTTGTATGTACACTAATACTCAGACATGTTAAGAGCACTGTGAGACAAAATCTAGAAAGTGCACAGTGAAGAACAAATGTGATTTACAAAAGCCAATTCATCACATTTTTCTTTATCAACAACAGACCACAGCTTTAGTGAACAGTGACTTTAAACTTCTTAACTTCCCTTTTTTTTTTTTATTTAAACCACTTTCCTCTTCAACAGTCGTCACACTGCAAAGCCAGTTAGTTCTGTGATCAAAACTAGTTTCTACAAGCAAACAAGTAATGATTTTGAATGAAAATGACCAATTTAATATTGGGAGTGGTAATAACACTTTTAGAACTACTTTTTATTTTAATTTGCTATTCTACTGTGGTACTTAAAAAACAAAAACAATCTGCTATAAATACATCATATTTAACAAACCGTACAAAACAGATCAAGTATAAACAGCACTAAGAGAAACAGCTGAATGGAGCGTGACTATGAATGAACTGTGTGTGTGATCATACTCATGTGTTCACTAAATAATATCTAATACAGTACGTTGATTACATCTAGTTTACAAAGATAGCCAACGTGCCTACAGTCGCCCGTTGTGCTGCACAGATGAAGTGTTGACTCTTCCTAAGCCCCGCCCCCTTTACGCTCTGCGCTCCAATCACAGTCAGACCCTGGGACTTAGGAAGGGTCAGTTCTGTTTGTTTGTTTGTTTGTTTGTTAGTTAGTTTGTTTGTTTGTTTGTTTGTTTGTTTGTTTGTACACACGGATTCCCAGGGGTTAACAGATGTCCTGGGGAATCTTGGAAATGTAATATCCTTCTGTTTCATAATAAACATTTGCTGCTTTGCTCAGTGACAGGTGGGAAAGTGGGTGTGGCGCTGTCGTGTGTTTTTGTTTTTAGACAAAAAAGTGTACAAATGTAATTTACATCGATACCAGAAATACGATTCTATATCACAAGTTCAGATAAAAATATCATCCTCACGTGAAGAGCAACAGACCTAGTGAAGGCTACAAAGGCTTTGAGAAAAGACACTTTGGCTCTGCCCATTGATTGGAAGGGTTTCTGATTTCCCCTTTTAATGATCGCGCCAGGATGTGCCCTCCTCTTCCTCAGTCTGTTATTCTTCCTCTGTGGTGTCCTGTTCGCTCACTGTGATGATCAGATCACTTCCTGGAGAGAAGCTGGTTCTCCAGCTGCTCCAGACGGGCAGTCATACCAGCCAGTAGACAGTTGATTAAGGATTAATACAGATATTTAGTGCAAGTCTGCTCATAAATACTTTTATATAAATAATTCATAATATAAATAATAGTTTTTTCAGTGAAAATTAAAAAAAATGTGATGCAAAAATGATAATTTACACTTAACTGTGAATCATATCTTGTTATATAAAGTCAAATAATCACAATATCATTTGATGAAGATTTGTATATATAGTTTTTAAAGGATATGTTTCTGAGTGAGCTGCTCCAGGCTGCTCATGGTGGCCTGCTGGAACTCCACCAGACTCTCACAGGCACATGGGTCCTTCACCTCGATCTCCCCCTGACTCTCCTCTGAAAGGACACAAAGAGGGAAAGGAAATAAAGTTACAGACAGGAGAACATCAGTGCAACATCTTCACTTAATCTATTTATATTTTATGACACTTTATACTTCATGCAGGTAGAAGTTAATTATAGGAGAAACACGATGCAAACAGCAGTTTAAACTTCCATTCAGCAGTCTACTAATGATTTTGTTAAGTTAGAACTTTTTATTACTACTAAACTGAACTACTTTCTGTTGTCTCGGTTGGATAAGGTATTATTATGTTTTTGGTATTACATTTGGTATATTTGGTGGTATTATAGTGTTATTGCTTTAAATTGTCTGCAGCTGCCAGTAGATGGAGCCAAAGACCAAGACATCATTTCAGTGATTCGCCAGCAGACACAGGGTCTCATCTCTAGCACTTTATATTATGTAAATCAATTTAAAATATTACAATAATGAATAATGTCTTAATGACACTGAAATAAAATGAATTAAAACAAGTCAAACAAAAGAATTGCAGCTGATCAGCCCCCTGTAGGCTGTGGCCATCAGCCTGCACAGTGTGTTGCATTGTGAACAGTATTTTTAAGCTCATCATACATACAACATCTGTATCTGTACACTAATAAGTATCTTCAGCCTATTTAAAATATACAATATATTCATATGAGATGTAGTGGAGTAAAAGTTTAAAATTGCACAAAAGTGAAAGTCCTCCCCTTCATCCATTGATCCTTTTGCTGTGCAGAATTATTTTTTATTTCCACTATACAGACATAAGATAAGATAATGACCAACCACCATTTAGAAACAGTAAGCTGGTACAACTTTAATGAATTAGCGATGAACTGTAGGAATTAATATATTATATAAGGCTATTGTGGCACTCATACTGATGTTAACGGCCTGTAGAAGAAGTGAAAATTGTATTTTTGGGCAGCAATGGCTGAAGCAGTAGAGCAGGTTGTCTATTGATCAGAGGGTGTCTGGTTTGATTCCTCAGTAAAGGGTCCTTGACCGTGTTTGTGTGTGTGTGTGTGTGTGTGTGTGTGTGTGTGTGTGTGTGTGGGTGGGTGAGCTTAGTATCATTGTGAGTAGTTCTCAAACTTTTAGGCCTCACCACTCCACAAATTTTGTCAATCATGTCAACAATGATAGAAGAAGTAATTAATAAAAAACACGTTGAATTTTAGCACAGTAGCATCTGCAATCTGTTGTTTGTTTATATTCCCTGCATAAATCATTTGTTTTTATCATTTATTTAACCTACTATAACTTTAATATTTTCCCCCTGGTCATCCATGCTCCACCTGCAGTCGCTCTGTGTCCCACCCCCCTCAGTTTGAGACAGGGGGCGCTGTATTTCTCTTAATGAGCAGTTGGCGTCTTGCATGGCAGCCTCAGCAATCAGTGTATGGATGTGTGTGTGAATGGATGAATGTGATAAGTAAAACTGTAAAGCACTTTAAGTGGTTGGTAGACCATAAAGCACTGTCAGTCCATCTACTGAATATCAATCACACACACACAAATAAGGGATGACATTATCTTTCACATGTTGTGTACTTTGAGTAAAGTATTCTGCAGTGAGATCAAGAGTTTTGTACCTGGGCAGACATTGAGTTTGAGGTTCTCAGCGATGGTGCTGATGGCGGTGAAGTCGGTGGTGTAATAGAAATGTTTCTCAACAGGCTCAGACGCAATCTCACGAAGTTCATCTTCCACAGCTTTTCCAACACCCACCGCGTACATGGTGATACCTGTACACAAACACTGAACCTCAGCACTACTCCACCGTCATTTAGATCAGAACACAAACTGTAGACGAGGTTTGACCCTCCGATGGTTGAGTCTCACCACGGTGAGTCTTACCAGCTTCTTTGGCCTTCTTGCCGAACTCTGTGATGTCATCCTGCGAGCGTCCGTCTGTGAACACCAGTCCAATTCGGGGGATGTTGCGGCTGGCTGGACGAGCGCCCTCTGCCTCTGAGAAGCTGTTCTCCACCATGTGTTTAAGGGCCAGACCTGTCATGGTGCCTTTCTCCATGTATTCAACCTGGACAAGCACAGTGAATCATTGCATTGTCTCAATTTATCTACCAGTGTGGGTCCATTAAAGTGATAATGCTGTCTACCTGTTCACCTCTGGATGAAGCTATTTGTTACAAAATGAATTTATGCTCGACATAATACATTGTCTTTATTTTGAACACTTATTACACTTTATTTACAGTAGTTGGTGATGCATCTGGTAATAAAACATAAAAGATTATAAACTGACAGAAAACAACAGCTTTACCTTCATGACTGCAGCTTTGATCTCGTCAGCAGTGTGGTACATGTTGAGAGGGAACTCCGTCCTGACCCGGCTCGAGTACTGAACCAGACCGACTCTGGTGCCATGAGCAGACACGTCCAGAGAGTCCACCACCTGGAGCACAGGAGGAGGTGAGGAATACTCATCAGGCACCGTAGCAGGAGACACAAGGCACAGGTCCATACATCCATTTTTATGTTTATTGTGCCCAAAACCCCAAAAATTGAGCAGATTTGGGGCTTTTGTTGCTGGATCTGTTACTAACCGCCTGTTATACAATTGGATTACCTTGTTTTGGACCCTGTAAACTGATACTGGTCTATAATTTACACTGAGAATCGCTTGTTAACACTACAATCAGCTTTTAGCTGTAAACAAATGCTAGCTGTTACAGATCAACCTGCGATCAGAGTCACTGTTGGCAGATTAATCTGTGTGGAATTTCAGTTTTGAATTTGTTAAATTGTATATTTTTTGTTGCTGTTATTTTAGGCAGAGTAATACATATTGGTATTAAAATACTGTAGTTATTTAAATGAAAACATGCCTCACCTGGTTAACAAACTTTTTGACCAGCTCAAAATTCTGAGGGCGGACACTCTTGGAGCCGTCAATCAGAAGCACCAGGTCGATGTTGGCAGACTTGCATGCTGAAGGATAGAGAGACGAGAAAGAGAGAGGGAGACTGAGAACGAATACAGAGTCCTGATGTTGGTATTATATTTGTTCTACAGCTGAGCCAGACCGATTCCACAGATATGATATTGGCGCGGCACAGGAATGACGAATGAAGATATTTGAGTGGTCGTTTCACCATATACTCCAAGTTCCTAGGTCATTTGGTCTGCAGAGTAAATCTTCTTTTGACTCATATTGTTATTAAACAGTCAAATATTGATATCAGGCTTTAATTTGAGGTCGTCCTCTGGTCTGAAACTGTGTCGTCCACATACATTTGTAGATGCACGGAGAAGGATAAAAAGTAAAAAATTCGAGCAACACTTAAAAAAGAACATTATTGTCAGACTAACACATGACCTTCATCAGGGTCAGGTAACATAAGGAAATAAAAATCATTCCAACATAATTCTTTGTTGCTGTTGTTACGTATCTATGTCGCCATTTCCAAAACTGCTGTTGGCTGAAATTGCCTCGGTATTAAGTATCAGTACTTGCTCAAGTACTCAGACATAGTAAAAAAATATATTTTGCTCAAAGATTTTCTGGTTACCATGACAGTTGTCATAGCAACAAAGGATGTCAGTTGGCGCAGTAGTCTAAATCTTGAATGTACGATAAATGAGCCTGTTTTTACTGCCATGGATCTCCATATGGAGGTGCTGGAGGAAGGTTACTGGCAGGCACTTCAGGTTCCTCTCAGGGTCCCCAGAGGAAAGGAGAATTTAAAAGAAGATCCCATCTTTGTCCAGCCAGTTCCTCTCAGAGCTGCTTTTAACATCAACAGGAGATTTGGGTTTATTTTCACACACATCTTTATTTCATCTCTTGAGAAATAACCCCATTGTTTTACTCTAATCCTAATCATAGTTTATGATGTTTTCTCCATTTGGCAGGTTCATCTGATCTCACTGTAATGGATCTCTGGTGTCAGGCCATGTCATCATGATTTATTACAGATTTTTTAAGTTTTTATTTAATGCACATCAGAGCTCAGCAGCACTGGAGTATCTCCAGAGATCTGGGTTCATACAGATTCTGTTCGGTTTGGAATGATCTGAGACAAATGTGATGATGATGACTTCTTGCTCCAGCCCCCAACACCTTCATCTCACATCTGCAACATTTCTGTTGGGTCCCACAGGACCCACAGGAGCCTTCTGACTGCTGCAGAGTGGTGAGTTTCTCCAGACTTAATGTAGTTGTGTTTGTAGTGACTGTATTATAACAAGGTGAACAGTGAACCTGTCCTATAATTCCCACACTGCTAATTGTCTTGAGTTTACACCTGTTCAGACGATATAAAACAGATACTTTATCAGAACCGACTTACTGCCGCAGCTCTTGCCGTCATCCTGCAGCAGTTGTCCCTCCGGACAGATACAGTAGTAAGATCCTGGGGTGCTCACACACTGGTGCTCACAGCCATGCTCCACTGTGTTACACAGGTCCATATCTGCAAATACACAGTCAATACACACATATTACAAATATTATATAAAAATGTTTAAGTAAAGTTGTTATATTACGAGTACATTTATTGAGACATTTTACTCAGGTGATACATTATTTGTACCAAAAACACCAATACACTCAGTCCTATTCATTAAGTCTATTCATTATTTACTTTAAACATTAGATAAGCTCTGAAAATGCGACTGTTGATGGAAAAAAACATCTGATTCAGCTCAGTGACAGTGACTGTCAAAACAGCTTTAGCGCCTCTTTTAACCCCTAGAGCTCCAGAGAGGTCATAGATACATATTCAGTGATGAATGCATGCAGTTAGTGGCTCTTGGATAGTTTCCTATTTTCCATTCACTTATAAAATATTTTACAGCAAAGGTTGAGTGCTGGCTAAAAGAAAAACCAGAGCCGTACTCATTATTAGCTAATTATACTATACTATACTATACTATACTATATAAATTACTACGGTGTATTGGTGTATCGGTGTATTGTGTATATTTTATTGTATTTCCATATCTGGAGTTTATTGTGGTAATATTATAATGAAAGCTGTATCTTTTAATTACACTCTACATGTAAAAGCCCAAATAAGGACAAGGTTTGTATTGGAACTTCAATTCCATCGTCTCTATCAAATAATAATAATAACAATCACAATCAGATCTGGAGACATTTTAGACAACAAAATTAACTTGACGTAGATTTTAAATCAGGGATTAAAGAGTGAGAGGACACATAAAATAAGGTAGAGGAGAAGCACATGATGGTGTGAAATTCACTGACTTGTGCAGGTCTTCTTATCTTTGTTGAGTTTGAATCCTTTGTTGCAGTCGCAGGTGAAGACCCCGGGAGCACTGATGCAGATTTGTTCACAGTCATGCTTTCCTTCGGCACACAGGTCAATAGCTAAATAACACACACACACACACACACACACACACACACACACACACACACACACACACACACACACACACACACACACACAGTTATTTGGAACATTGTGTCTGATTGTTTGTGTTGTGTTTCTGCATGTATGTGCTTCTAGGTGTCTTCATGTATAAGTGCAAAAAAGCCAGAGGATCAAAAAACATTTGAATTAATTAGAAAGCACAAGAAGAAATATTCTACTGACCACCCAGTGGAGAGAGTTGTGAGCTGCAGTTACAGTAAAGACATATCTTTTTTTAATTAATCAATCTGTTTTTTAGATTTAAATTAAGTCTTAAGTGATGTTTTTAAACCGCTTATTTACTCTGACCAACAGTCCAAAGACCCAGAAGGATTTCATTTACAATGACATGAAACAGAAACAGTCTTTATGTTTAAGAAGCTGGAAGCAGCATCTTCTAACTGATTGTTAAAATTAATGAATGGAAAATACTTCTTCCAAAGAACAGGCTGCAGGATAGATGCACCAGGAGCAATTTACTTTCACTGTAAACGTGTGTTTGTTGAAGTGTGTGCAGCTGTGTATGTGTGTATTTGTGCGAGGGCCTGACTAACGTGTGCAGGTCTTCTTGTCCTCATTGAGTGTGTATCCTTCGTTGCAGTCGCAGGTGAAGACGCCGGGCGCGCTGACACAGATTTGTTCGCAGTCATGTTTCCCCTCAGCACACAGGTCAATGGCTAAATAACACACACACACATTGAGTTAAAGTGTGTGTGTGTTAAAAACATGGCCATTTTAATACTACTTTAATACTTTTAAACCTCAGACGAGCAAGATCTAAATTATAATTCAGTATGACTCACACATACATTATCTTGTTTATAACCTCTAAATGACCTGATTCATCAGTGATAAACCAGCTGTTCTTAAAAAGTCCAGAGCAGCTGAACCAGCAGGCATGTAACAAAGTGTTATTTCTCTTTACATGAGGCTGCTGTGGTATTTGGGTTAAATGGACGACTCAATTACACGATGTGTTACTCATGCTTTGAAGGTTTGTTCGGCTTCCAGGGAACAGCAAGTCTTTGGTGATCCAAAGGTTGTAAATTGTCTTTATTTCACAGTTTTCTGTCAACAAGATCTTGTACTGCAGGTGTTGCTGTGTAACTGAGACATCTGCACACGAGTGTCTGGCTGCATGCATGAATACGTACTAACATGTTGGACGCTTGCATTCCCATGCAAACAACAGGCTTGTTTGTGCATACAGTATGGAGTGTGTGTGTGTGTGTGTGTGTGTGTGTGTGTGTGTGTGTGAGTGGTGCGTGCGTGCGTGCGTGCGTGCGTGTGTTTGTGTGTGTGCGTGTGTGTGCGTGTGTGTGTGTGTGTGAGTATTTGTGTGAGTGTTTGTGTGACTGTGTGAGACTTTGTTCTTTTGTTGTTGCATTTAAATGATATTCTGGCTAATATGAATTTGAAATATATTGTAGTTAAGAGTTTTCTCCAGAATTGTGCTCCCAGGAGGGTTGATGGTTTAGTATTTAATAGGTAATGATTTGCGAGACAATTCACCATTATTATTATTATGACCACAAATCATACTTGTTTCTATGTTAAAAGTCATTCATATTAATATTTAGAAACATAAGCTGTGTTTTCTGTTACAACATGTAGCCAGTTAATCACCAAACTTAAAATACTTAATGCTTTAATATGTGAGTGGTTAAACTTACAGACTAAAGAATGCCTGTCCAACTAAAAAGACCTTGTTAGTAAAATCTGACAAAAACTATCTTCAGTTTTTCTTGTTTTTTTATGGTAAAATACCACAGTGGAAGCAGTCCAACAACAAGATGGCTTCTTTATCTCTGGTTTGTTATTCTTAGCCTCTGCCTGCGTATATCTTTTCATAGTGAGAAACCTTTCCTTGCATTCTTGCTCACGTTGACTTGTAATACACTAAAAAGATTTCCTGGGGCAAACAAGGTGCACATGACCTGCCCTACTCTGCCTCTGATTGGCTAGTACTCATTGTGTTTGTTGGTTTGTGTTTGTTAGATTGGTTAGTGTGAGAATATCAGGGTAAGCCAATCACAGTCACGGTAGAGCAGATCATGACTTTGGGCAAATAAGACTATGACTAGCAGGCTCGCGTTCGGGGCTAATAAATTACGTGGAATTGGATCAGTACACAGACGCGGGTGTACTGGGCAGTATCAAAGGAATTTCCGATACTGGTCAGTATAAGAACATCTCTCATGAGTTGGCAAAGGAAAGAAGAAAAGAGGCAGAGGGAAAGAATGAAACTGTGCAGTAGTTCCATTCTTTGTAGGTGTGTCTTCATTTTCGGGAGCCAGCAAGTCTGAACAGTGCTTTGTTTAAGATTCAGATAAAGAAAGTTGCACCCACTGATGGAAATACTTCAAATGCATTCCTACTTCAGAGCCAATTACCTGCTAATCACGGAGATAGGAATTGTAAAAAATGTGCTATTCTGTTCTGAGGTTGTTTGGACAGTATAACAGTTGAGTCAGAGTTTTAGAAGTCTTATGACACATTTGTGTCAGTTAAGTGCAGCCACCATCTTGTGGCAGGAGATAGTCTAGAGTCTAGACTAGCAGTAACCACAGTTCATTATCTAGCAGGTTGATTCTCCCTCCAGTGCCTCGACATGACCTTAAAACAAGCTGGTAGAAGATTAAATGATCCTACTTTAATCATGCATGTGAGCAAACAGCTGCAGTAGGTTAGGCAGGTTTCACAGACATTATCATAAAATCTGATCCTCACCTCCGTTATACCACTGGCAGACAACAGGGATTAGTTTTTATCTGTGTCTTTGACAATGACAGTGAGGTTAGTCTCATATAACTTACCCTGGCAGGTCTTGCCGTCCTCCAGCAGCCTGTATCCCTCGTTACAGCGGCAGTGATAGCCATTGAGCACACTCACACACTCATGATCACAACTGTGGTTCCCAAACGAACAGTAGTCGATCACTGAGGGGAGGAAAGCAGCAAGGCCATAAGCAGCAGAGCAAACAGCAGCAAAATGTGTGGGAGGGGTCCGTGTATGTTTTGGTCATTGGATTTTCCTTTCAGAAACGGGTATTAAAAACAGAAAACGAGTGGTTATTTGATTTTCGTTTTAAAATACAAAAATTAAAATTGAAATACAAGACGTTTTTCTTTTCATGGTCAGAAAGGGATGAGCGAAATTTAAAATGATTCGATTTTCATTTTGTATTTCATATAACAAAAAATAAAATCACTAGAAAACAGAAACGGAAAAAGACCTGTTTGTTCATATTCTGAGACCGGATGTTGTATTTACAGGACGGTGCTGTGTAGAAGAAACAGTAGACTAGTAGACTGCGGTCAATCCAGCCGTGAGTCCGATCTCCGTGGTCAAATCAGCCGCACTTAAATTTAGAGTACAAGTATTCTCAGCATTATGGTAAATGCGGAGAAACAGCGTATTTACTTCCGGTTTTCAAAATAAAGGTATTTAGAGCCGTAAATTAAAATATGTTACATTAAAGTGTTTCATGTGCCCCTGATGAAAAAAAACACTTTATATCAAGTATCTTTACTGCACCAGTGTGGAGAAATGCCAAAATAAAAGCCTCATATTTATGCCTCCAGAGATTGCATATTTGACCATATTTGAGGTACTGTAAAAACATATTGCTCAGTGTTTCCTGGCTACTGATGGTATATTTGACTTTTACACATATGAGACTACAAACATACTTAATATCAAGCATTTTTACTGTACCAATTTGGAGAAATTCAACAATAAAAGTCCATATTTGTACCTCCAAGTGGTATTTTCATATATTTGAGCTACTGTAAAAACACTTTGCTCAATAATTCCTGGCTATGGATGGTATATTTGACTTCTACACATCTAAGACTACAAGTATACTTAATATCAAGCATTTTTACAGTACCAATTTGGAGAAATTGAAGAATAAAAGTCCCAAAGTTGAAGTTAAAACTAATTATTTTTCCTTTTACCTACAAATGGACACAGCAGAGCAGCAAAATAAGAAGAATGTGGACTGCATTGCATTTTGTGAGAAAAGTAAACAAATTAGAATTGTGTAGGATTTTGTGTTTAGTGTTTATATTATCAAGATGTTATTAAACATTTGTGTGAAATTTTGTCATGATTACTGCAGCATTATTGAAGTATAATGAAAATGTTTCACCCATAGCCTGGAAATATTGAGCAATATGTTTTTACAGTAGCTCAAAAATATAAGAAAATATGGAATCTGGAAGTATAAATATGGGACCAAATTTGTACAGTAAAAATGCTTGATATTAAGTATGTTTGTAGTCTCATATGTGTAAAGTCAAATATACCATCAGTAGCCAGGAAACACTGAGCAATATGTTTTTACAGTACCTCAAATATGGTCAATATGCATCTCTGGAGGCATAAATATGAGGCTTTTATTTTGGCATTTCTTCACACTGGTGCAGTAAGATACTTGATATAAAGTGTTTTTTTCATCAGGGGCACATGAACACTTTAATGTAACATATTTTAATTATAGCTTACGGCTCTAAATACCTTTATTTTGAAAACCGGAAGTAAATGCTGTTTCTCCGCATTTACCATAATGCTGAGAATACTTGTACACTCTAAATTTAAGTGCGGCTGATTTGACCACGGAGATCGGACTCACGGCTGGATTGACCGCAGTCTACTAGTCTACTGTTTCTTCTACACAGCACCGTCCTGTAAATGACAACATCCGGTCTCAGAATATGAAAAACGGCCTTTTTCTGTTTCTGTTTTCTAGTGATTTTAATTTTTGTTATATGAAATAGAAAATGAAAATCGAATAATTTTTAAATTTCGCTCACCCTTTCTGACCATGAAAAAGAAAACGCCTTGTATTTCAATTTTAATTTTTGTATTTTAAAACGAAAATCAAATAACCACTCGTTTTCTGTTTTTTAATACCCGTTTCTGAAGGAAAATCCAATGACCAAAACATCCGGACCGGGAGGTTATCTATGGTTTGTTCCTTAAGTCGATATATGCTATAAAAGCAGCATTACACCTTCTCTTTTAAAGTGCCAGCCCAAATTCCAACAGAAGTCTTTAAGAATTAAGAATTAAAATAAGGCAAGTTTTCTTTTCTTAACAGACATCTTAGTGTTTTTAAATCTTCTTGTATAACAGTCATGCACATGTCCTGACTGAGTCCAAATGAAGGATTTAGAGACAGGATGTAGAGGAATATAAAGGATGTACAGTAAAGTGTTTGCAACTACTTCTGTTATAGAGACAAAGAGCAGCAGGAGGAACATAGTGCAAACCCACAGTCAGCTTCATGAAGCAGCAGAGAAATCAGGAATCAGCAGTTCAGAATCCATTTCAGCATCAATGAAGATGACATGAATTCAAGCTGAACGTGTTTCTCAATACAAAGCCAAGAGCAGTCAGCACTTATTATTGGATGTGTGGCATTGTGTTGTGTAAAATCAAATAATGTTTGCAAGTGTTATCACATGTGTTTGTGTGCATGACTGATTTCTGCGTGTATGTGTGAGTATGTGAGACTAACTTGAGCAGGTCTTCTTGTCGTCGTTCAGTTTGTATCCTTTGTTGCAGTCGCAGGTGAAGGAACCAGGAGAGCTGACGCAGATTTGTTCACAGTCGTGTTTCCCCTCAGTGCACAGATCTATGGCTGAAACACACACACACACACACACACACACACACACACACACACACACACACACACACACACAAGCAAGAAATTTAGTAACTACGTTCATTATCAGTAATTGTATATTAATAAATAATTTCACTATTTGCATGCAAGCATCTCAGGTCCTGCACCAGTTTGCAACTTATACAACGTGTGATGTAGAAACTATTCATGTATTAATAGGTGATTTGTAGTGTTGTAGTTTGGCCCATTGATGTAGCTTACTAACAGCAGTGGGAGCAGCAGCAGTTGCTGTGACACACAACTCATCGAGACAATTAAAGTATTCAAATCTGAACACAGACATTATACCCATGTTATTATTCTCCTTGTAACTGCAGAGCTTGCCTGAGAATGATCACATAACATATGAATGAATGTGTGAACCCAATTGTCTGTGTTGTGTGTGACCTTTGTCCTCTTTTGTTACCTGCACATGTTTTCCCATCATCATTCAGAGTGTATCCAGGCAGGCAGAGGCAGTGGTAGGAGCCCGGGGAGCTCTCACAGATGTGCTCACAGCCGTGGTCCGACTCCAGACACAGATCCATACCTACAGCAGAGATAATATCGACTTCAGCATCCATAATAACCACCAGGATAAGTAGCATGCATGGGTCATTATCAGTCATTGCCTAAACCTAACCAACCTGCAACCTCTGTACCTTTATTTTGAAAGTAAAATGGGATGTTGCATACATATTATTGGTAACTTGACCACAGAACAAGTATGTGTTGAAATTGTGATGCTTCCACAGTGGACCAGCATGTGTATCACTGATACCAGGTTGATATACTCTATATATAATAAATCTGTCTAACCCCTTTATGAAGGCGCAGACAAGGACACAGGGTTGAACTGTCTGAAGTGACAGGTGAGTGGGTTTATCCCCGCACCACCAAATCTCAGCTACAAACTGATGTTTTTATTCTTTCATATTCCTTCACTGTCTTAAATTTTATCCATCTGAGTTTCTCTCCTTTTCCATCTCCCACTCAGGAAAGCCAGAGATTTTTAGTCTAGAATAATAGCAGCGCGGGGAAATAACTTGCACTTAAGGGATTTGTGGAGGCTGTTATGAAAAAGTATTATGTTCTGTGGGGTTAGATGGGCATGGTGATTTTTTTTATATTCAGACTAGACATTCATAGTGTTTTTAATTACATAAAGAATCTGGTCTTGCCAACAGCATGAAATCAAATTCCAGAGACTTTGCTTCAGTTTTTACTTGTCTTACATTAAGGTGACTTCAAATGGAAGTTATCCGTTAGTGGCATTAAAGGGAAGTTTTTTACTGGTTTCAGATGGGGATTTTACAAAAATATGATGTCAAATCCATAAAGAATTACTCCTCACATTGGTCGGTTATTCTACAAGCTTTCTTTTAATCTATGTTTAATTTGGTCTTGGGAGAGTGAGGACTTAAGTTTTCATATTCCAGTAAAAATATTATTTATTTTATTTTTCAATTTCTGCTTATTTTGCATTCTGTAACTCACATAAAACTACAACTTTATGACAAGAAATAATGTAATAAAACCTAAAATATATACAACACATCCAAACTAAGTAAGTTATTTGATCTTGCTTGTGGATTACATGTTTAACAGCCACTTTTACAGGCAACCAGTCATTCTTCAAAGATCCTGTTATGATTAAAAAAAAGGTTTTGGCAAATCTGATAATGAAAATACCAAACTATACTTTTACAGACAGTGAGGTCATTTGCTGTCCAGCAGCCTTACCACAGAGCTTGTCCTGGAACTGCAGTCCAAACTGGTGAATAAGATCGAAGGACTCCACCAGGAAGACGTGGTCTTCGAAGGGTGGGGACGCCATGGCTCTCAGGGATGTCATATCGGCTCTGGCCACCCCCACAGCGTAGATCTCAATGCCCTTCTCTCTAGCCTCGGCTGCCACCTCCGCCACGCGGTCCTGAGGACGTCCATCTGTCACGATCACAACTACGTTGGGGACCTGAGGGAGAGAAAACCTCAGAGGTAAGGTAACATAGGGAGGACAGTGGTACCGTATTAAACACCTCAAGAGACACAGTCACAGTTGGATAATCACAGTTGTCAACTATATGCACATAAATACAAAATAAATCCCTTTCCTTAAATTATATGGACTGTTTCTACATATTATAAGATATAATATTTAGTTCCCAGCTCACAAAACTAAGACAGATATTGTAAAACATATTATTAATTTTAAAAAAAGTGTACTGAAAATTCAAATTCAATTACCTGAACTTCTGGCAGTGACCATATAGTCAAATACAAAGTGAACTAAACACATTTTTCACTTGTAGTTCTTTGTGTTAACGATCAGTCAGAGGAAATGTACAACAATATGGACCAAAGCAGGTAAGTAGTCGTCTTGCTTTACCTTTGGCCTGTCTCCCTCCTCTGCGATAAAGGCTGCATTCATCACGTATTTGATGGCGAGGCCGGTCATGGTGCCCTGAGCTAGGGGAATGATCTCATTGATGCCTTTCACCATGGCGTCCAGCTTGGAGTGGGTCTTCAGAGAGAACTCACTGCGGACCTGAAGACAGAAGAGCAGAGAGACCACACTCAGAGACAGCAGGTCGTATCATATTTTATAAGAAGGGATGAGTATTATCCTCACTTTTATTATTAAACTTTACTGAATTAGCAAAAGGGAGAGAAAGTAGTGAGAAAGTGTGCATTGGATCTGGATGCTGTGGGTCTACAGTACCTGGCTAGAGTACTGAACCACTCCCACTCTGGTGGCGTTGAGTCCAATGTCCAGTGTGGCCAGGATGTCGATCATGAACTTCCTCATGGTCTCAAACTCGTGTGGCCTTACACTGCGGGAGCTGTCGATGAGGAAGATCAGATCCACTGGACCAGACTTACATTTTTGGTTAGGACCTGGAAGAAGGAATACAAACATTCACTTGGGAGGTATAAAATGGGAAATCTTTATTTATGTTGAGCCAGTTGTTCAGAAGTAGTAATGATAAAGTGTCTCCTTGGGAGCAACAGTTCTTGATACTGTAGGAATAAAGTGACAGCTTTATTCTTTGACTCAAAGGTTATATTATATTATAGATTTAGAACAATAATATATTTTAGCAAACAGCTGTTCTCTATATAAAGATACAGAGTCACATGGTGTCTCACTCCCTCTGCCTGTGTTGTATCGCAACCTCTCTGTGGTTTGTTTCCATAGCCGGTCTGCTCCGACTGAAACTGCTGTTTTTATCATCTACGTCGATTAATTAAGGATTTATTTCCACCAAACCAGAGTTGGTGATTGTTGGAACAGCTGAAAGACTAGCAAAGACGGTTTTGGTGAGATTTATTTTGTTTCTGTCCACTTTGAAAATGAAGTAACACTTTTAGGGGATGTACTTTTACAGCTGCATGTGTCTCCAAGGATTAACATTACACTACATGGGAGAGTTTGTGTGTGAATTGTCAGTGTGTCTTCAGAGGTATGTGTGTGTGGTTTTTCTTGAATAAAGCAGCAGCAGATGGTATGACTTTCACATTATTTACCACCTGAACTCACTTCTCCATGACTTCAGCTGCCACAAGGCACCTGTTTTTGTCTTCAAGTTTTCGGTGTCACTGTGAACGCACTCCCATGTTGTAACATCATCTCGGTTCAAAAACACAGCAGTCATGAATGAGGTATGAGGTGAGCCTGTGTTTGCGGTGTGGCTTTATGACTTGGAAAGGAATTGTTTGATTAATGCACATCCAGAATTTCTTCACAAAGGCTGGACTTAAACTGGAAGTCATTGTAGAGGAGACTCAGTGTCAGGTAAAGTATGTATGTGGGATTGTTGTGGAATCCATCTTTAGTTTCAAACAGACATGAGCAATGGCTCCTGTTTAACATCTTTTAAATATGTTCATCTCATTGTCTGGCCTTGTAAATCAAGTCAACCTTCAGCTGCTGGTATAATGTAAACCACATCCAAATGTATAGATCTGATATGTCCCAGAGTGCTTTTAGGGAAAGTCATGATTCACATGATCTGGACCCACAGCTTGGGCATTAAATGGCAACTTATTTTTCAACCTGGACCTTATTTTCCCACGTCTACAGTGACTAATGGGGACAACAAGTTTTGAATTTGATCCCATATTGAGTGAGAGAGCAGCAACCGCAAAAAGGGCTACACTGTTAGAATAAGTCCATTAAAATAAGATGAAATACGCAGCACCTTTATTGACTCCCCATAGGCACAGAGGAATGTTGTACAAAGAATAAAGAAAATAGAATAAAATACAATATAATGAAATACAGTGAGATAAAACAGGAATAATATATACAGCATATACAGTCTGTGTGAATGTACATGTGCAAAATCTGTAACTGAATGGTTTGTGGTTTAGAGTCTCAGTCAGTGGAGATAGGAGGTACAAAGGAGCCCCACAAGCACTTTGAGGAAAGTGGCTGGATGAGTCTGTGGCTGACTGTGCTCCTGAGCTCAGCATAGAGAGGATGAGAGTGGAGAGAAAAAAGTGCTTGTTTTTGCCACTGACCGGCTCAGATTGTCTTTATTCTTTATTCTCCTTCAGAGAAATGAAACATTTTCTGTTCCTTTTATTTGATCCGTTGTGTGTCCAACCAAGTCTCGCTCATGCAGTCTCATCCTAAACTCTTGGGAGCGGTGAGGTGAGTCAACAGTGTAGTACAGAATAGGTAGCTCAGTGTTATGTACATATTTTCAATGTAAATTGCTGAATATTTTGTTGATCATGACAATGTAGATTAACCACCGTATTACAGATAAAGAGCTCCTACTAACTGAAGAGCAGACGAGGAAGAAGAGAGAGAGAGAGGTGCAACAGGTAGTGGAGGGTGAACCAGCTGCTGGAAGGCTGCGAAGCTTGAGAGACTCGTGGTTGTCCTCTACGAGACCGAGACTTATTCTTGGGCCAGATGTTATACTGACCAATTAAAGCAAATTTCTCTGTAGGGTCCTTTTCATAATTTTGTCAGACACTTGATGGTAACAGTCTGAGCCTGGTGGCTCACCTGAGCTGGCCAGCCATGTGCCGAGTCCTTACTGAAGTGGCCATGGGTTCAACTCTGACCTGCGGCCCTTTGCTGCATGGTATCCCCTTTCTCTCTCCCTCCCCCCTTTTCTGTCACTCTACAGCTGTCACTATCAATTAAAAGCAATAAAAAACATACAAACACAAAAACAATTTGAGCCTGTTAGTAGCACAAACAAGTTCACATTGAAGCTCAAACTAATTCAAACCTTGTAGTCCCCATTGTCACACAAGAACATGGAAAAATAAGTTTCTGCTTGAAAAATACAGAAGTTACACTTTAAAGCTCAGAGTTGTGATGTACACTGATGTTTTTAAAGATGTTGGCACCCCAATAAAGTTACTTTTTTGTTGTCTTGTATTTCTTATTCCTAAAAATGACATAAAGAAGGAGAAACATTTCTGTGGCCACATGCCTTGTGGGTAAGGTTCTCACAACTTGAATGGAGGGAGGGAGGTAATAAAAACACTCTTTCTTTTGTCCTATCATTTTTCTTTCACAGTATCTGCAGACTGACCTGCTTTGGGCCTGGCGGTGGCGAGGACAGCCAGGGTCAACACAATGAAGCCACACAGTCTCATCTTCGTCCTGATGATAGTGATCTAGCAGACGGGTCGCTCACAGCTGGACTCTGGAACTGGATCAAACTGTGAGGAGGGAGAGGAGAGGTGGCGGGTGAGATAAGAGGGAAGCAGAAAGAAATACAAAAGAGGTTATTTGTGGTAACTAGAGAAGACCTGTGTTTAGGAAGCGTCCTTCAGCAAGGCACAGAATTATATCTGCTTTTGGCTGATTTGCACTATTTAGTGATCAAAAGACGTTCAGACATTAACAGCTCTTTAGGTATTAACCACATAATTCATATTACGTTTCAGGTTTGTCGTACTGTGGTGTCAGATGTATTATATGTAAATTCAGAGTCTGCTTTCAATCTCAAAGTTGGAGTGACCTTTAAAAACAGGACTTGAGTCATACAAGAGGACCTTCAGAGGTGGTGCAAACAGGCAAATAATGCTTTGTGTCCTGTGTTTGGCTCAAACAAACACACAACTTTAACCCAGGAGACCGCTGTCTCAGGGCCACTGACCAGGCAGCAGTATTCGATGAGTTGGGAGTGAGAACGTGTTGTGTGAACTGTTTTATAAGGCAACCTCAAATTATGTTGCCCTTTCGATAGTGTCGAAGTGTTTGTTGTTTGTCTTTGTTGTCTAATTTCTAGGAGTTTGGAGTCTGAGTGTGAAGGAAACAGAATGTAGTTTCCCACAACAACATAGCATCCCTCGTGTAAAACGTTGAGCCATACGTCACCAAACTACTAGTGATTTTATTCTCAATCAAACAAAATGTTTATTATTTTTATTTTATTTTTTATATTTATGTTTAATTATTATTTTTGCAATTTTACATTGCAGAAAAATGCAGGAAAATGTCGTAACATGCATTGCAATATTTAAAAATAGTTGACCGAGATCAGTAATTTTAGGCTGCAACAATCCCCCAAAAAACCCACAAAGTCCTGGAGGAACTTCCACGTTTTTCCCTCTGAGCATCACATTTCGTCACAAATTTGTGCCGTAACACCCAGTCTGTTCTATTTTAATGGAGCGAGCGATTACAGTGTAGAAACTCGAGTAAATTCCTGCCCTGTGTGTCTGTAACGTGATAATAATGTCGATGGAGGGCTTGTGTTGTGGAGGGACATTCCAGTCCTGCCCCATCATAAAACACTCGGCTGCAAACACCTGGAGAAGGTGCACGGCAATTCCTGCTAATGGAAGGCTGCGGATAAACACACACTCAGTCCCTAATCTCCCTGTGTGTCTGTCAGTATCCCTGTAGGCTATCAGCTCTACAGCAGCAGAGGGGTAATGATAATGTCTGGGAAGTGTTTACGTTCAGGGCACACGGTCAATTCAAACAGGCACCATGAAAGCCACCTCTCTTCCTCAGGTCCACAGAGAGGGGTCCTTCGGGGGTTTATCGCTGTCTGACAGGCAGCCAGAGCGTGTGGTCATCACTGGCTCATGTCTGAGCACAAAGGCTCTTTTCTCTGTTTATGTCTCTGTTTGTCTCGTTGTCGTCTCGCTCTCTCTCGCTCTCTCTCTCGCTTCTCTCTGCCTGCTTTCTTTCATCCACATGTTTTCAGGAGCATCTCAGTAGTAGAAGAAAGGTCAGCCAAACATTTGGAGGACATTATTCATGCGTCTACGTTTTGGCAACGACTGTACAGAATACATTGTCCTCTTTTAGATGAAGGTCCCACTTCCTTCACATGAAGTATAGATTTAACGATGTAACAGACATTACGGCACTGAAGGGACACTTGCCTCCTAGAAATGCTACCAGACTAAAACAAAAGGTAACTGTTGGTGTTTTCGCCTGAACATTTTGGAACTGTCATCCTCACTAATGAAATCAGGTGGATCTGTTGAACTAGTCCAAATGACGACATCTGTACCTTATGTCTCATGCTTCTGCTTACAAAGAGACAAAAGATTTGAAATCAACAGAAAAACCAAGCTGAAATTTGTACCTCATACAAATTGTGGATGTTTCAGAGACTTTAATAATTTCTGATAATGTAATTCCAAGGTCAACACTAAAACTAGGACAGAGAACGCCACTTTGAAACAAGGTCCATACTCTGCAAGTCTAAAACTACTCTCTCATGGATAAATGAACTGAAATGCACAGATGCCTACACACACTTATACATGTGCTAGAAGATGTCATAGGTAGTCTATCTAATGTCGGATGTAAACGAGAGTTGGAAGACAGAAGGGAAAGAGTGGGAGGGAGAGACAGATGAGTGGAGTGAGCCTTGTGATGACAGGAAGTAGACGGGAGGCCAAATGTAGTGAGTCTGATAGAGTCACCTGGTGGCCTGTGTTGGATGTCATCCCCATCTCTCCCCCCTTCATTCATGTCATCACTCCACTGTCGACTATCGAAAACCTAATCTTAAACTAACGAGAAAATATATGTCGGAAAATAATTGGCACTGACCTCAACAGCATTGGGTATGTGTATGAGGCCAGAGCCACAATTCAATTCAATTCAATTCAATTTTATTTGTATAGCGCCAATTCATAACAGAAGTTATCTCAGGACACTTTTCAAATAGAGCAGGTCTAGACCGAACTCTTTAACATTAATTACAGAGACCCAACAGTACCACCATGAGCAAGCACTTGGCGACAAGGGCAAGGGAAAACTGCCTGTTAAAAGGCAGAAACCTAGGACAGATCCTCCGGCTCTAGGTGGGTGGTCGTCTGTCTCGACCACACAGAGGGCAATGGCCATTTTGGCTAACATCACTCACCCACTACACTCTGAGCTTTGCCTCCTACCATCAGGATACCTGGGATCATTTGTACCATCAGCTGTTGGGTTTCTCAACAAACTATAGGTCATCTTCCATCCCTGCCCATGTCACAGCAAATTTTTTCACTTTTTTAAAATTTTTAAAATTTTCATTTATATATATATATATATATATATATATATATATAGAGAGAGAGAGAGAGAGAGAGAGAGAGAGAGTGTACATGTGTATTTATGTTTTTATGTGTTTTTGTGCAAATGTGTATGTGTTGGCTACCTGTTGTAAACCAAATTGCCCCTTGGGGACATTAAAGACATTTCAATCAATTCAATCAAACCAAATGAAAGTATAATTTGCATTATAGCTTTTCTTACTTAATTTTTAAACCACAAATGTAACTATAATGTAGTGTTGTTCACTTAATTCCATGACGTGGTCTTACGGCTTTATCGGAATTAGTAGCTCACCTATAATCACCGATAAATATTTTATCAACTGCACAACTTTTAGTCACTTACTGTATTTTCAAAAATGCATTTTTTTAAATGAACACTAATAGAGAGTTACTGTAAAAGAAGGGGGCGATCGTTTGTGAAATTTGGAAATGAAATAAAAATTTGCCAAAGCTTTTCTCCACACAGAGACTTTTCAAAGTATCAAAACGATTTCAGAGTTTGGTCTCGCTCCAAGTCTTACCAGACGAACCTGGAGCCTGAGGCTGTTTTATCAAGATTGTGTGTGTGTGTGTGTGTGTGTGTGTGTGTGTGTGTGTGTGTGTGTGTGTGTGTGTGTGTGTGTGTGGGACAAAGACTCCTCAGTATAACTTTCTGTAGCTATATGGCAGTAACCAACCCTTTCCCACCTCAACCCCCATCAGCCTTTTCCTGTCTCCCTTACCGGCGCTCACCAAACAACAATCTACTGCCATCCTGCTGCTACTGAGCACATGCACCACACACACACACACACACACACACACACACTGCTCCCCCTCAGCGTGGGTCACAGACCAACATATGTTCTATAATTCTCCACAAAGAGAATCATTCAGCTTAGACTTCATATTTTCTTGTTAAACATTTCATTGACTGGCTGGTGGTGAAGGCAGCTACTTGTGGTGACTGTGAGCCAGTTAACAGTGTGTTCCTTACTTAGCTGTTAAATATAGAAGTGGAGACCCTATTTCCTTCAATTAACACTATAAACAAATTAAAACTGTGTCTGCTCTCTTACCACCTTTGAGCATTCAGTTTATTCATCCTAAAATCTGAACTCTTACATAGAACTAAATTGTATTGTGTAACGGCAGCGTGAAATTACAGGATAATTAACTGAGTGACCTTATGACTGACGTCTAATCTGAAAGAAAATGTTCTTTAAATATAAAATCACAAAAGAAAAGCAGTAAGTGTCGGGGAGTAGTTTGATGAGTGTTAACCAAGCGCACAGTCGGTTGTTAAAAAGGAGTCAAAGAGCAGTCACAGTTGTTGACGTTGGCATGAATGTGAGATTACCACGACAAATGAAACAGTGGCTGTTTCTTAAAAAGCCTTTTCAAGTCTGAGCAGTAAAAATAAACTGTTGGATTTCCTCCAGAGATTCAAAAGGGTCAAATAAATGGTCCAAACTAAGAATCAGCTACCATATGACCATCAGCTGCATAAAGCTGAAGCTGGTGAGGCAGGATGGAAATTATAAAACATAAAACTCACAGTGTGGAGCACAAATCAGTGAGGACCGAGGCTGTGGTGGAAAAAGTATTTATATCTTTTCCTTAAAGGACCAGTGTTTAGGATTTAGTGACATCTAGTGGTAAAGTTGCAGATTACAGCCGTTTGAATACAGCTCAGCCTCAACTCAAATGGCCCATCTAGAACCAGTGTTTGATTTGTCCGTTCTGGGCTACTGTAGAAACACGGAGGTTTCCTCTGTAGATAAAAACAGAAAGAAATAAGAAAAGGAAGAAAAGGTGAAGATGAGGCGAAGAGAAACAGGGACTGCATTTCCCTGTTTGCAATTTATTAAATCAAGAAGCAGCCACTTGCACCCTGTGATGCTGAATACTGACAAATATCAGGTCTGTGTTTCCTGTTACTGCTGCCCCCTATGGAGCAGGATGTGTTAATGCATTCTCCAGATGTCCCTGAGGTCAGTGGACACGAGGAAGTCTCACCTGACCTCAACATGGCTCTGTGACTTCTGCAGAACAGATTATACTTTACAAGAAGATGTAACAGTTCATCTGATTCCTCAGCTTAAACGTGTGTTAGAACAGAATAGAGCTGTGGCTAATGATGATTATTAATTAAATAAAAATAAATAATACATGATTATTTTGATTAGTGATAAATCTGCCATTCCATTCTACAAAATATGACATTAAATGTTATAAATATCTAGATGATCAGATATCTGTCCAAAACCCAAAGATCTTCAATTTAATTTAATTCAAGAAGCTTAAAAGTACCAAAAGTTTTAACTGGTTATGAAAAAGTCTCAGTTTAATGTCTCTGTATGACTTACATAAACAAACTGTGCTGTGTCTTTATTCCTAATGCCTGTCACCAGGTCGGATCGTCTTAAAATCAATGAAATCAAGGTGGTAGAAACGCTACCGCTTTTGTCCACAGGGGCACCGGAATCAGTTTCCAGAATTTACTGCCATTTTTTAAAGTTTTTTTTTTTTTTTGGCCTTTTATTGCCTGTGAAAGCCGAAGATAGACAGGAAAGGGGGGGCCGACCCATGTAACTCCGTACATGGGTCGCCAGCTCTACTGACTCAGATAACCGGGCGCCCAAATTTACTGACATTTTTTATTTGAATGTCTGAAATGATCGAACAATTATCAAAATAATTGCTAACTAATTGGGGCGGCTGTGGCTCATAGAGCAGTTCGTCCAGTAATCAGAAGGTAAGCGGTTCGATCCCTGGTTCCTCTGGCTGTCCTTGAGCAAGATACTGAACCCCAGAGTGCTCCTGATGCTGTGTCATCAGTGTGTGAATGGGTGAGAGTGGTACGTAGTGTCAATCTCCTCTCCACTATGACACCATTATCTTACCCAGGATTCAGTCCCATTTTTGCTTTATTGATTATGTGGTTAAACAAACCACATATGGTTCGATACGCTGGCCATGTTCATGTGCATGCATCCATACTTTTGGATCAATCATCGTTCTAACTCTCCGAAGTCTTTCCATTGCTGCTCGATTGAGTTTGATTCATGTGACCTCAAACTGTTCCTCTGGCATCTCACATTAACCTAAACCAAACAAATCTATTTCACTGACTTTCTCAACAGTAATAATTTCACAATCACTCACAGTTGGCAGTAAAAAGCGTTTCTCTCCCGGCTGTCTGATAGAAAACACAGGCATCTTGTTGAGTCCTGCTGTTTGTTTTCATCAGATTGTAATGTTTTAAACAGCCTCTGACTGTTTGACACAAAGACACCGCAGAACCCCAAAGTCTGCAAGATAAAGGTGGTTGAAGGTAAACAGGAGTGTTTGTTTCTCAGAGGGTACAAAGTTAATAAAGGGTTCATTATAGTTTTGCTTTTTCTGTTTTAAAATCCTTTTAATGGAAGATTGATACCATTCTCATAAATGTCTGTATGGAGTTACCAGCAGCAGCAAGTTAGCTTAGCTTAGCATATTTACCTTACAGAAATGGTATCTCATCAAACTCTTGGCAACAAAGCAAATAAGTGTATTTCTTGAAAATGTCACTTTTCCTGTAAAGTTGTCCTGCAGGTTGGGGCTTTAAAGAAACCTATATATAACCTTAAAGAAACCTATATATAACCTAAAGGACCTATATGAAGAATATATACTTTATTAATCCCCTAGGGGAAATTGTTCAATATATATATATTCATGAACTAGTGCTTACCGATATAGTTCTAAACATTATAAAGCAGGGGCAGAGCTAGAGGGGTAGCACCGGCCACCCGTGGAACCTGACTGGACACCCTGGGTGCCACCCCAGTTGATTGACAGGTCACTGCACCTCACGTCGAAAACAGCAAGATTTTTAAATGCAAACAGAGAAGGCAGAATAAACAGATAACAATGAAGAGGAAGGGAGATATTTCCAACTTTTTTGCTAAAAAAAAACAAATCAGGCACAGACAGACCCCAGCCCAGATATGTGCAGCCCAGGCAGCTCCCAACATGAAACTAGCCAGGCAAGTCATTCATTAATTCTCATACCAATGGCGTCTTTATTTGATCCTTGAGCTGAGTCTTGTGTCTACTGTCCGTGATGTGCAGCCTTCTCTTTGTTTTGACAAGACACCGACTTTTCCCATGGTGTTTTTAATTTTCTGAATGAATGACGGTGCCCTGGTTTAATTGCTGCGCCAGAAACTGAAAGTGAAACTTAGGTCCATTTCCTCCAGCCACTTTCCGTCCGTCATAAAGCTCTTTTTCCTGAGTTTAACTCAATGGTCAAGAAGGCATGTTAAGTACCAGGTTAAAGTATGCCAGTGTTGGCGCCAGGTTAGTTCAGTTGGTAGAGTTGGCGACCCATGTACAGAGTTGCTGCAGTGGCCTGGGTTCGAATCCAACCTGCAGTATCCCAGGATTTTCCTTTATTAGGCCTAGTATATGGCCCCCCTCATAAAGCCTTGACCACCATCTGGCCACCCCCTGCATAAAAGTCTAGTTCCACCACTGTTATAAAGTAATTTAGAGCTACTGGAATTAATTACAGAGCTATTACCAGCAGGGCACTGTTGGCTCAGGATTAATACAAAATGTCTTTATGGCTGTTATCAGTTATCAGTTCTATACAGCTCATATCTGTGCATGTGTCTCTAAAGGTTTTAGGTATACATAGGACAGAGTCGTGGTCAACCACAAGAATAACGTGCTTTCATTTTAGACCAATCAGATAACTTGATGGAAACAAAATGTTACAGAAATGTAAAAAAAAAAAGGCAAATATCAGCCAGTGTGTATCTGCAGTGTTTGCCAAAGAGAAAAGGTGTGTGTGAGAAACCTGCAGTCCAGCAACAGGTGATTATCTCCTTATCCACACAAACTGAGAGATACAGTAATGTACACACACACACACACACACACACACACACACACACACAAACACCAAGAGCAGTCAGATAACAGATCCAGGATGGAGTGCAACCATGTACACACACAGACACACTTATCTTTTCCACCAAAGCCTCTCTCACTGTAGACTGCCTATAAGGTGAGGTGGAAACATTGTGTTGGTTGGTCGACTGACTGACTGATGGACACTGACATGTTCTAACTAAGCTAACCTTTACCTCTGAACTCAGTGACGATGGTGAAACTGCAGCATGTGGAACATCTGGATGGAAAGAACCTGAACCTGCAGCACTGAAACCAGAACGAGAAGAGGAGCAGAAGGATTTTAACCAAGAAGCTACAGAACTTTAATTTCAGGTCAGCAGAATATTTTAACGTTTTCACTTCATGTTCTCATGGTCTGTCTTTTGGCTCTGTACGACACTGGAGGCCACAGTGCACTGTCCTCAGTTAGATTTGTTTGTTAACTGCATTTAGGATGAGTTTACAGAGTATCCAACAGCAGGGGAACGTCTGACTTCAACAGACCATCAAGCTGCAACACTAGGCCAACTTGATGTTTAGTCAACAGCTGCATGAAGTGAATTATACAGCTCTTACTCTGATGGACACCGAGGGCTTTGTTTTATTCCCCCATAACAATATCTGCAATGTTTGTCCAAGTCCACATCACTCAGGAATTGTTGTGCAGCTCTGTCACACACAAATAGATCTTTCTTTGTTAACAGCGCCATTATCTTGTGAGAGCAGAGTCACAATGGACCTGAAGAGCAACCCCTCTTAATGTCAGCCGAGGTCATCATGGAGGAGTTGGACACTGGGGAAGATGGTAGGAAAGGTGAGATGATTTTGATATCCTATCGTAAAACTAATTCTGAGCAACAACCAACAAACTGACAAATGAAGCAACTTCGGAGGGACAAAGTAAATTTTACATCTTCTGCATGCTAGCAGCTCTGTGAGGCTGAATGTTTCTCAAACCTTTTACACCGCGTACCACCTACAAAAATATTAAGCTCTCCAAGTACCGCCATTATGAGTGACAGTAGCACAGGCCGACCGTATTTAACCACACAGTTCACACAGAAGGCAGGTTAAGTTAGTTATTGTAGTATTTTTTATAGAATTAGATGTTTTTAAATTAATTTATTTCATTAAAAATATATATCTCATCCACCAGTGGTAAATGTACTACAGCTTTAGTACCAGTGCTGTAAGACAAAGTGGTGCTTTGACCTAAATGCTAACATGCTCACAATGATGCTGATGATTAGGAAGTATACTGTTTGCCATCTTAACACTTGCTACTTAGCACTAAAGTCCAGAGGCTGATGGGAATGGTATTACCTTTGTAGGTATGTGTTCATAAACCAATGACCAAATGATGATGATGATGCTTCCTTGTCAAAAACAAACTAAAAAACAATGTAATTATATCTGATTCACTTTTTTCACATTCTTTCACTCATCCGACTCACTCCTGACCCCTAATAACCATCCTGTGACCTCCTGCCAGGGTCGTGACCCTGAGATTGAGAAACGCTGACAGGTGACAGATATTTGACCCCGTTGTTGACGTCCTGTTGGGAAGTTTCTGAGCCTCAGTTTGTCAGACGCGGGACGACTTAACCTCGGACCAACTTTCTAAGATATTTTAGTGGTATTAGTGTTTCAGAAAAACTCACAGAGCACAATGCACAGAGCGTCAACAGGTTTCTCTTGTTGTGGTCTGATTGTTTTTGGGGGGCTGTGCAGGTTTGGAGCTCAAGAGCTTCTCCCAAAGTAGATATTTGTGGTATCCACTGTTGTTGTTGTGCTTCAGTCAGTAGCATCTTAATATAATAGAGACTACATGGAGTCTGTTAAAATTAAGCTCCAAAAAAGTGTCAAGTGTCCAAAAAGTACCTGGTGCTGCTAATGCTTGACATCAGTGTGGCTCAGGGTTTGAGTTACGTGGGAGCCAGTGGGAGCTGAACTCCCATGAAAGCAGTAAAATCATACATCTGTGGGGGTAGCTACTACAATACCAACAACCATCATTTTAATCACAAATAATGTGCTGGACTCACTGAGAAAGACTTGTCAGAAGGTAGCCAAGTCCTAAAGCATTATTTACTTCTAATTTTAGAGACCCCCACAAAGCTCATGATTATAATTCAAACCCTGCTGTGGATCTCAGCCCGAGGGTCTCTAAAGATATCTGAGGGGTTGCGAAATGGGAGCAAAGAAAAGAGAAGATTTCTGGTAAACAAAATAAAGTTGGCATATTCAATAATTAAATATTCTCTAATCTTTATTTCAGGTATGCTGCAAACTTTTTATCCCTCTAACCTCTAAAATGTATTCAAATAAAACAACAACCACCTCCTGTCATCTCCACATCGGACATCTGAAATCAATTGAGTGTTGAAAGGAGATTAAATCAAAAGGTGAGGGGGAGGCAGGTGGGTCAAGACATATGAGTTACATATACAAAGTAGTTCTTCTGTAAGTTTGATTGACAGCCTGGATTCACACTGAGACGGTATCATGTCAGCTCTGTGGTTCACGGACACAGACAGAGATGGAGACCATATGTCTGTACATACAGTGGCAATATAAACAGCAAAAAGGTGAAAAGTAAAACAAAATAGACAGGATATAGGGGAGAGACAGACAGGAGTAGATGTGTGCAGTGAGACGGGCAGTGAGACAGGCAGAGCTTGTGGTCGGTACTGTAGGTGGTTTGAGTGACAGCTGGAGCCCATACTGAGATGAAGACACAGCACTTCTTGTTAGTAGCTTTAGATTGGAACCAGATGTTGACTCTGCTACTGTTAGTAGTTCCACTGACTGCCTGACTGTTTTACTGACTGTCTCCCTGCCTGCCTGTCTCACTGACTGACTTCCTGCATGGCTGACTGACTCCTACTGTTTTATCTGACTGTACACCTACCTGGGGCCGGCTTCACAAAGATGAACTTTGACTTTGGTTTAGATCAAACTGATCAGTTTCCAAACAAAGCTGTGCAGTCTTTGATTATCTCATGTAGGAATAATTTGCCATGAATTCTGGGTAAATTACCAAACTAAAAAACATCGCTGACCGAGCAACCGTTTAAAACCGCTCAGCTCTGTTAAATGTTTGAGTTCTGGAAGAAAAATGTCCTGTAACTGTTGTTTACAAGACAACAGTCAGAATTGAGCTGCTGTGGCTTCTTGTGGCAGGACTCAGTATTTCTGATAAGTTGTCAGTCAGGTTTCCAAACAGAAAAAAATGACAACCGATGACATCGTTAACAAACCATTAATTATAAGCCATGTTTTCCTCTGTTTTGTTTGATGCTACTACACAGCAGTTACCATGGAAACACAGTTCATTAAGTGCTAAAGTGTGTAAAAAAGTGGAAATCCCACAAAAAAAGTTGAAATATTGCAAAGTTTCCACACTTGGCTGAGGTGTAAAAGTGCATCAATAAAATAAATAAATAAAAACAAAATGGAAACAGACTTGGTGAATAATTGATGAGGTACGTAAAGAATGGGACTTTCTGGAGAAAGATAGTTGATTGTTGAGTCTAATTCCCAGCTTGTCAAATATCAGTAATGCTAAATGGGAAACAAACAAAGTGGCTCAAACAACACAACAGGTGGCGTTCGTGTCCATTATGGTGTTTCTTGGAATGAGGCTCAACAATCTTTCTCAAAAACTGACTGCAGCTTTAAATGTCACTCAAGCTCCGACAGAAGAGCTGAAGACATCAGAACTGTGTGGAGCGATGAGGAGACTGTAACCTTCCTCACATTAAAACACAACACTTATAACATGAAATATGAATTCCCTTCTGAAACAAAATAGGTTTAAACATGTTTTTAGGGTTGACTGGATCTCTTTTGATCCTCTCACTGTCTCCTTTTCTTCTGCAGAACTTTAATGGCTCCTGACTGGAGAATTGGTGTTGAACCAACTACTAATATTCACATGCCGTGGATGGAAATGCACATTGATTCACTTTTTTGTTGCCTACAGCTCTGAATTAGTGTGACGGCAAGTTGGCTCATTGTTAAGCTTAAAGGACCAGTGTGTAGGATTTAGTGGCATCTAGCTGTGAAGTTGCACAGTGAAACCAACTGAATACCCCTCGGCTTGTAGCAGAAACTACGGTGGCCGCAAGACTTGCAAAAAACGTGAAAGGCCCTACATAGAGCCAGTGTTTACGGGGTTACTGTAGAAACATGGTATTTCAACATGGCAGACTCCAAAGAGGACCTGATCTCTCTGTAGATAAAAACATGTTTTCTATTTCCAGGTGATTAAACACAACTAAAAACATTCCTACGAATATTATATTCCATTTCTGCCAACAAATCCTAAATGTTACACACTGGACCTTTCAGATCTATGTCAGAAAATCTAAGAACAACGATTCAGATCAGTCTAAAATATTTTTATGAGTCCCTGTTTAACTGTATTACGACTGTATTCCCACCAGTCTGCCTGTCTTACTGGCTGACTTTCTGCCTGTCTGTCAGACACACTCTTTTCTGATCTGAATGCAGGCGTTTGACCAACTGCACAGAGCATCACCTCCAGGCAACCAGTGTGAACCCAGAGCGTTCTCTCTCTCTCTCTCTCTCTCTCTCTCTCTCTCTCTCTCTTCTCTCATTTTTGTCTCCTTTTTCTCAATGAAAAGCTTTCATTATTTCACTTCATGTTAAACGTGCATTGACGCATCATAAGTGTGAAGAAATCAGTGAAAACGTATTGCTTCACAACCCATACAAAGACCAATCAAAGAAACAAAGATAAAAGTTGTTGCTCAGAGTTTCTTTATCAAATATTTATTATCAATACCTCAGCAAACTAAACTTTAAGCTGAAAGTTAAAGTTAAATCTTTTCAGGAAAACCTCTTGACTTTAAGTAAGAATCAACTAAGGATCAGTTAAAGATTAATTTAATTAAACTGTCGAGTAGTCCCTGAACAATGAGTTAATTGTTTTGTCTAAAAAAAGTTAGAGAAAATAAAAAATCCTGATGTCCCAGAGTCTAAGGTGATTTATACAAATGCGTTTCTGTTAAAAACCCAAAGTTTACTGTCATTTAAGACAAAGGAAATCCTCAAATCATCAGATTAGAACTGGAACCAATGACGGTTTGACATTTCACCTAAATAGTGTCTTAAATTAAGAAGTTATTAAAAGAGTTGCTGATTCATTTGAACTCTGTTAACACACACATATTGTACACTGAGCATCTCCAACGATGATCCTATTTGCACTTTGCGCCTCCTTCCAGTCCTGATGCAGGCTGCACAGCACTAATATCACCCTGCAGATATCTGCAACTGCTTCTCTTTGCTTCAATTAGACAGGAGTTTAAACTGTGCATCATTTAAGTTCCGTCACTATCCTTTCCTCCTACCAGTAAGATCAATGCTCTTTTCAAACTAACGGTTTGTCTCTTTTAATCTGCTCCTGTCAGAAACATCGACCAACCAGCCTGGATACTCGCAGGCAGACAGCGCCCTGTTATACCCTCCTCCTCAGTCCCCCGACCCGGTCAGCACGTTGACTCACCTGGGGACGCTGCTGGCCGGACACGACGCACCGAGGACCGGCGGATGGGACAGGTAAGGCAGCTGGTTTTCAGCCTCCGCAACAAAAAAGTCCCGTAACACACACAATGTCCCGGGTGAGGAAAGGCAAGGTCACAGTTTGCTGAAGTTTATCCCAGACTTTTTTTTTTTTTTTTTTAGAGAAGTCCTCACCGTGCCGCGAGGAATGAGCGCGTGGACGTGAAAATGCGTTCAGCTCTGCTTCTCGCTCGGTTTTACTCACTGGTGGAATGAGGTGGAGGAGGGATGGTGTGTAGGTATTAAAATGGCAAGAGCAGAAGTATTTGTGAGGGCAGAGACCCCACCCCTCTGCCTTTGAAACCTGAACAACGGGGAGTAAGAAACCGAGGTTTGGAGAGGTGAGGTGGGGCCGCGGCGCACGGAGCGCGGCGTGGCGCACGGAGCTAGGATGGCATCACTGACTCTTAAACTTTCAATTTAATTGTCCAAATTTAAAGTTTTTGTGAGATCTGATGATATTCTTTTTCTCAATCTTATATCTCATGATATTTTCACTAAAATCTCTCCAGAAGCATCAGATTTCAGCTCCATAGCAGACACAGTGGGGATGGGTTTATAGGTGCATGTGTATGTTGGTTTCATTGTATTTATTCGTTAATTATTGGCATACAAGTACACTATATTATGTTGAAACTGTGTTGGTGACCTTCTATTACAAGTCCTTACTTCAGCATTTGGGCTGCACAATTAATTTAAATATCCAAATTACAGAAGTTGCGGTTTCTTTGATAAAGGTAGAAACAGCATTATGTAGTTCTGAAGTGAAGCCTCAGCCTACAGATCTGGTTGGAAACGTTTTTATTTTGTACAGACCTCAACAAAAGTCATTATGATTTTAATAGTGAAAATTAAAATTGTGATGCAATTTCCCCACTAATCGTTAATATAATATCACTATTACATATATATACATATATCACATATTCACAACACTTTAACCCTGATACTGTTAATATAAAGCGTTGTAATGTGATTTTGTTTATTCGCCGCCTCTCTCAGACTTCACTTTTCAATCAAACACTGAGCACATTCATCACTATCCCTATCTAGATGGATGATCAGAGACCTGAATAAACTGTTTACAGGCCACAATATGCCGGTTTCTGCTAGAGGACCAGGCTTCTCAAAACCAGGATATGGTGTTGAACACATAACTGTGATACTCCAAAAACCTGAAGATAACCAGGATACTTGTGCAGCCTGTGAGAGATAACTAGCTCTCTACTGATCAGGAACATTCTGTATGTCTGAATGAGAGAATCCAGCACTTTAACAGAGAGATGAATGTTACACATATCATGTCTGAAGAGCTCTTTTGTAGGAAACAGGATGCAAAGAGCAGCTTCTAGTGTCAAAGTTGCTGTTCTCACTCTGGTGAGGGCAGGTTGTGTGTCCCAGGTTGACGGAGGTTTTAGAACAATTCCTCTAAACAACTTTGCTTTCATCCATTTTTACAACACTGACACCTGTTGAGTTGCGCTCGCTAACAAACTAATGATGATTGTGGTTATTACGACTCTCAGCCGCTGCCACCAGAACAACCTCTGGACCAGAACATGTACTCTTTTGGAGGTGAAAGTGCATTCTTCTCCACCCCTCCATGCTTTCTTTTTTTTCTGTCCATTCTGTGTTCCCAGTGTGAAATGCCAGTGAGTCTGAGCTCCTGACACACTGACCTTTGACCTTTGAAGAGGGGAAGGTCTAATTTAGACTACTGCTGGCACCCTGGTGACTGCTCATCACACACACACACACACACACACACACACACACACACACACACACACACACACACACACACACACATACAACCAGTCAAGTGTGAACCCTGAACTATGAACTGTGGAGAGAGGTGTACTGGGTCAGTGGGATCCCCCTCATATATGAACAAAACATGCAGTCTAGTTGCTCCCTTACAAGGAGCAGCCTGCTCTCCTCTGAATGCACGCACTACTGTAGGGCAGGAATTAGTTAAAGGCTAGAGTTAGTTTTGTGTATAGATGAATCGTGAGTTTCCTGGTTGAAAGCCCTTCACGATGCATCCAACTGAAGCCCACCAGGACTAGTGCAGTGCAGTGTGTGCAACCAACATCAGTTTTAATAATCTCCTTTAAATAACTTGTCAGTCACTGCCTTCATTTTTCAACCAGTACATAAAATGTCCCAACAAGACTCTGCTGCATGAACATACAGTCTGCTTTATATAAAAAGGAACAGATCAGTGGTCTAGCAGTGAATTGTCTTGGCAGTATTTTACTGTGTGATGTAAGAGACCAATGCAAAGATACTCAGTTGCTCAGAACTTTTAGCTGATTGAAACTTTTCTCCATATGCAAAATTTTAAAAACACTTAAAGAAAGGTTGAAAAATATTTGTATGATCTTGTCCAAAAATGCCATCCAGCCATGATTGTCAGGTCAACGTATGTTTATTTTTAAACTCTATGAAATTAGTCTTATTTGTGCGAAACAAGTCATCAGTTAAAAGTTCTATGGGAATTTATGAGCAGAAAGAACATGGACCCCTGTTGTTTAGTTTTGACCCACTTAGCCTCTGTGTCAGATCAGTGGTGTTCTCTGTGTGCTGTGGTGTTACTGGGTTGCTCTTGTTAAAGCGAGCACCCTGCTGCTTTAAAGACCTGCTCTGCTCTTCTCTCCCTGACAGTCAGACACACACAACAACAAAAGACACAAGTCCAAATAAGAGTTTCTTTCTCATTGCAGAATTGGGTGTTTTTATGCAGTCATGGCATGGTTTACAGTTTCAGTTTGCAAATTTGTAAAATAGGATTAGTTTTTATTTTGAAAGTGCTTCATAGGCCATGGGTTCATTATTATCCAGTGGGTCCAGTGTGTATCTTTTGGGAGGATCTATTGTCAGAAATAGAATATAATATATTTTCATTAGTGTATCTTCACTTGAATATCGCCTTCTGTGGAGTTCGTCATGTAGAACCTCCATGTTTAAACACTGGCTCTCGATAGGTCATACAGCCACTGTAGTTTCTCCTACACACTTCACAGCCCGTTCTCATTCCCAGGTTGTCAAATACAGACACGAGCGGTGTCGATTTAGTCACAATTTACAACTTCACCGCTAGATGCCACAAATCTAACACACTGGTCTGCACATTATATATCTGTACAAAAACCAAAGTGTAAATTGTAATTATATATTTTCTTTGTAAAGCAGAAAGAAAACTAATCATATTTCCTAAAATGTTGAACTATATATTAGATATTCAAGTCTTTATTGAATTATATTTCTGCTTTGAAGATATTTGATAGTTGTATACTGAGATAACTTTGTTCAGTATTATCGTATGATAAAAAACACATATTGACACATTTCTTTATGTCTTCATTCTGATTTATGCAGTTTTATTTCCTGGTTTGTGAAACACTTTGTCACAAACTATATATATATATATATATATATATATATATATATATATATATTTATTTTTTTTGTCATCATGTGCAAAATTCTGCAACATCTTTTCATCCCTTCTTCTTCTTCTTCTTCTTCTTCTTCTTCTTCTTCTTCTTCTTCTTCTTCTTCTTCTTCTTCTCCTCCTCCTCTCATGTCAACAGTCTTCATTATGAGGAGCATTCCAGACTCCAGGCCCCGGGGTAGAAACTCCTCATTACATCGTTGCTGCAGAGAGAGAAAGCAGCTAATGTGACAGCTGCTATTGTTAGCAGAGCTACACGGGGCCACTCAGTCACTTACCTGCTGTTCAATTGAACAGTTTAAATCTAATCACACAGATGAGTTTGCAGACTGTTTCTGTTTGAGTCCAATCACCAATCATGATTCCTGAAAGAGAATTACAGTATCCAAGCCAGTAGACTCATCATTAAGTAAAAATGTAATTTATAGCCATTATTAAAGTTTTTGTTCCCAAATCATGGGAGACTTATTCTGTCTGACGGCCACGTTACAACCTGTCAGCTTATATTCACTTTTACTTTCTACATAAGTGAATTCTATGTTCACTTGTGTAGAAAGACAATGTTCACATCCAGAATCAGAACCAACAGCTGTTAAAAAAAATGATCCTGAATGATTGTGATTCCCACAACTGCCTTTCGTCCCAATTAGTTCAGCTTTGTTCTAGTAAATTCTTACCTGCTGTTCACTCAAAATGTCCCAAATTTCATTACAGGGAAGAAAAATCATTTTTACAAATTTAAAAGAAGTAATGATGGAAATAAATAATTTATTTAATTGAAATAAATAAAATATACAAAACTGATATCTATTTTTTTAAATAAACCTTCTGCCGTTAATCGTAACAAAAGTGACATTGTCCATTTCATTACGACTGTCCACAAGTTACAGATATAAATAACTCTTCCATTGTTTAATGAGTAAAGCAATGTTACCATATTGGAAACTATCTTTGGAACGTCTTTATTTATGTCTCACTGCTACTAAGTCCATTATGAAGATGGATGGAGTGTTTGGAGATGATATCTGTGTGTTTAGTCTGAGGTACTTTATATCCCCATGAAGGAGGCTAAAGTAAGACCTGCACTGGGTTGCACATATTATATAACTTCTCTCCTGGATGTAAAGTCGACACTAAAGGAATAACTAGTTAGTTTGTTACTAAATTAGTTGCTAAAATTGCATCATAACACATCATAGTGAGCTATATTGATATTGAAATAACATAAATAATTACTATGTCGCAACATGGCTCCAAACAATAAAAAATAACGCTCTGTGGGATAAAAACTGCTGTTTTACCATTAGTGATGTAATTCTGTGATAATTATTGATTAACACCCACCCAGAAGCATGTGTAACTATTTAGTTGTCATTTAGAGATATTGTGGAACTTATATCTGTAGTGCAACCACTTTTATTTTTGTAATACATAAATCAAAACTCAGTAATAATTGACATTATAACTTGGATTGGGTTACACACAGCTGGTGTAACAGGCTGCTGTTTCTTTATTACAGGGTATTAAAGCTAGGATAGATATTGTATTTTAGAAATTGTTACATTTGTTGAAATTCTTAGGTCATCCCAACAGCAACTAATAAATCAAATGGTATCTTGTACTCACTTTGTTCAGTTCAGTTCAAAGATTTGTAGTCGCTGATTACAGAGTTTGTGCACTTCTTTCTAAGCTAAGTGATCAAATCAATCTTCAGTACGTACAACAGCAAGTGAACGTCTCATAGCCTGACATTCAGAGTTGGTTTGTGACTGCACCACATTATCCAGCTCTGTTATATCTCCATGAGCGAGACACACAAATACAATATCCTTCTTGGTTGCTCGTGTCTGACGGCATTCTTGTCCAATCAGGAGACTGGACATGGGGTTTCAAGGCTGTCAGTTACTGGGATCAACAAGGGAACCAGGTAGAGAAGCTCACACAGACCAGAGTGTCACCATCCTGCACGCCAAGGTCGCTCAGAAGTCCTACGGCAACGAGAAAAGGTTTGATGACACATCTGTGGAGTTTTATCTATACAGTAGAGATACTTGTGCTTAAAAGATCATTTCACACACACAAGTTGTTTCTGAGCCGTTCAGTTTGTAGCACTCTTATGTTTCCCTCAGGTTCTTCTGCCCTCCGCCTTGTGTTTACATCAGCGGTCCTGGATGGAGAGTCATGCAGGACCATCTGAAAGGTGACATAACAAAAATATAGTCCATTTTAGAAGAAAACACTGAATACTCCCTTCTTCCTTCCATAATGTCCCTCCTTTGTCTTTCTGCCCCTCCATTGTTATTTTTTTCTCTCCTCTCTTCCTGTCGTCTCCTTCCAGAGGCCGGCTATGGAGACTCTGTATATCGAGTGTGTGGTTACATGTGTCTGGACAGCTCCAGTCAGTCTCAGACCGACACATTCAAACTGGTCTTTGACCAACAGCCAGATTCCAGGGTGAGGAAAGTGTGTGTGTGTGTGATATATCTGATCTAATGCCATGTGCATACCTGTCTGCTTGTGCTATTGTCCACACAGTTCTCATCCGTCAGTTATATTCCCTCAGAGACACCAATTGTCTGAAAGTTTAAACCAGGCTTTGTCCCGGCTAAATTATCCCCTAACTTCCTCTCCAAACAGAAGGAGTTCTGCTGTATCCATATTCCTTCTTGGTCCTCAGCAGTAGTTAAAGCCAGTTCAGTATTTACATGCTTGTAGATTTGTAGAATATTTAGGTTTATTATTTTCACACATTATCAGTATAAAACAATATTATATGTTAGATCTTTGAAAGGATGCACCTTGAGCTGACTCTGAACATGATGGGTGTGAGGACGGATAAAGGTAGTTGGCAGCTAGAATCAAATATTGTGTGTATGTAAAGAGTCTAATCTAAACCCTTCAGATCCATTAGTTCTCATAAAGACTTTAAAAAACTTGCTTGATAACAAACAAGCTTGATATTTGCGACTGACATTGGCTACGTTCACGGCAGAGACACACCTGCAAACTAATGTCAGCTTTTCGTTCACTCACCTCCAGTTCCCTCTGTATGGGCTATGTCCTGCACACCTCTCCGCCCAGGATCTCACACACAAACTCTGAACCTTTCTCTTCCTTTTGTGGCCTTTTCTGGACAAATATCAGTGTGTATGAACAGTGCAAGCTGGTGTGCATGTTTGTTTTGGTGCAAGAACACGGATTTGCAGAGTCTTCTACCACCAGATCTCCAGTGGTTACTGCCTCGTGGTTCAGTATGTCGCCTGGTGGATTTACTCAGTCATCAGGTTCATGCTCCTTCTCACTGTCATAGACTTTATGTGTGGGTTGTCCAGTCTTGGTAGGTTTGTCCCAGGCTTTAGTTTAACTTGAGAGGTTAGAATTACAGCTGCCTGGAATAACCCACCATCTTTTGACCACGATGTGATGACGGAGCAAGACCCAGAACAAGAGGCAGCTTCCAGCAACAACACCTAGCCACATCTGGACACTTTTTTATACCAATATGTAACAAAGACAGCAATAACATGTTGGAAAACACTGAGATCGCTGAAAAAAATCAAGCGAGTTTAGTTAATCCTACATCAGAGCGCAGACTGAGACTGATGAGATGACTCTGGTTTCTTTGATTCTCTCTGTCCAATCAGTGGTCTGCAGTGTTTTAACTCCACCTTTCAGTATCAGCTCAGCTCCCTCAGAACCCCAACAGAGGTGTAATGAAATACTGAGACAGGTTTGAGTGGTTCTTTTGGCACCATCCGCTAGTTTTGCCAATGGAAACGCATTCTGTGTAATAAACTGGACTGCAAGCGTGGCTTAAACTGCTGCTGAACCCGGACCTGTAGCCTGTTGTGTCTGAGCGACAGACAGCTCTGTGAGTGTTTACCCAGACGAGGCAATCACCTCTTTTATTACAGTCGACTGTTGACTCGACAAACAGTCATGTCTGACAGAAAAACTACGCTGCTGTAAACACACACTGTGTGTGTTCTGTATGTACCGGCTGAGGGAGAACAAGAGAAACAGACATCCTACATCTGCTGTATTGTACTGTGTGTCGGCTAAATGCTGAGAAGAGTAGAGTAAAAATCACTTTATTTATTAAGAAAAGTTTACTCATGGTTATTTATAAGAATCACAAACCTTCAGTTACAAAGAAACATCTGTTCATCTGCACTATATTCCTCTCCATCATCTGACACTAGTGCATCTGAACACGGATTTAATATTATAAACATGCTTCATCTCCACTCAGTGTTTGAATAAAGTTTTCCAGACAAGTCCTGCTCTCTGTCACTCACACTCTGTCTGTCTGTCTACGTCAGATGTTTGCCTGTGCCAAGTCGCTGTTCATCTCCGATCAGGACAAGAGGAAACATTTCTGCCTGTTGCTGCGTCTCTTCTTGGGCAACAGACAGGAAGTGGGTTCGTTTCAGAGCAGGTTGATTAAAGTCATCTCCAAACCGTCCCAGAAGAGACAGTCCATGAAGAACGCTGACTGTGAGTCTGTTTTTATATATTTATCACTTTTTTCCTATTTGGAATCTAGAAAATTGATTTTATTGTTTAAGCTACAATAGGAACAGTTATAGGAAATACACTTCTTTGAAAAAAAAACTAGTTATTTCTGGACAGGCCCGCCATCAAAGTCAGGTGATGTAGTGTAAAGAGCCAGAAAATCCATGTATACAGCTGGTGGGGTGGTTGGATGACTCAAACAAACACAGGACTTGAACCCAGGAGACCACTGTGCGTGTCTGTGTGAAACCAAACATAAACCAACCTCAAGTACCTAACAACGTTTTCCTAATACTAACCAAGTAGTTTTATTTTGAAAGTGTACTTGACTGAAATCATGATGCTGTTACCTTCAGCGTCATATTTTGAAGTGTAGGGTGCTGACCAAGCTGTGGCAGTTAGGAGTGAGAACATGTTGACAAGAGGGGATTCAGGGAGCTGTTAGAGGTGCTATATTTTACACTTTTCCAATATTTTATTTTTAAATATTATTTTAAGTGTTGATATCCATAAGCAAACATATTTGTGGTTTTAAGAAACCAAAACTCATCTCAGTATATTTTTAAATATTCACTCTCACACTATTCTCTGGAGATCTAGCAGGAGCAGGTCTCATTAATATTAACAAACCTATCCTCTGATTGGCTGACTGTGCCAAGCCAACCACAGAGTGTGTGTGTGTGTGTGTGTGTGTGTGTGTGTGTGTGTGTGTGTGTGTGTGTGTGTGTGTGTGTGTGTGTGTGTGTGTGTGTGTCACAGTTTGCAAATGATGCATCAGCTAATAAAATGCACATTCCTGCACAGGACTTAAGTCTTCTGTGTTGTAAAGTGTGTGCCTCTATGTGTGTGTCAGTTTTATTTATCTTCACAGTATCTCTGTGTGTGTGTGTGTGTGTGTGTGTGTGTGTGTGTGTGTGTTTTCAGTGTGTATCTCATCATGCTCCAGAGTAGCTTTGTTCAACCGTCTACGCTCTCAGACGGTCAGCACTCGTTACCTCTCAGTGGACAGAGGAGCCTTCATAGCCAGCGCCAGACAGTGGACAGCCTTCACCATCATCATGGGTAAATGTGTGTGTGTGTGTGTGTGTGTGTGTGTGTGTGTGTGTGTTCACAGCTTCTCACTCACACACTGACTGTAAAGGTCATCGGCACTGGTAAATCATTGTTTTGTGTCTGAAATCTAAAAGCATTTGACTGGTGGCTGGTGCTAATTTCCCACCCTAACCATGATGTAACATATGACTTGCGGTCTGCCACGTATGTTGACCCCCATACTCCACCTATTCCTCCGATTACTGAACTGTATTCAGAGCTTAAAGGTCCAGTGTGTAACATTTAGTAGGAGCTATTGGCAGAAATGGAATATAATAGACTTGGATAGACTTCCGCTCCTGAAACAAGAGAAGCTGCTAAGGAAATTAATTGATTGTTTGATTGATACAAGAAAATGTCAGACAATTTCAGCATTCCTTAAGTTTGTGTGTCTGTGAACATCTGCATAACCAGAGGTGCCAAGAGGGCGGAGTCAACATCAGGAGGTATTTGTCAAAGACACTGAAACGAAGATGAACACTGGCTGTCGCTGGCATCAAACACGTTACCTTCCAGTCACTAGATGGCCTCTCTCACCACCCGGCCACCCTGCATAAATACAGTCACTGTGCGAGCGGTTGTTCAGCAGCGTTTCCCTCACAGACGGCTGGAAAAGCCTGTCTGAAGATCTGTGAGGTTATTTATTTAACACAGTGTGCACGGACCTCCCACCACCAAAACCTAAACCTCAGTCATTCATCCATCCGCACTCTCTCCTCTCTGCTATCACACACACACACACACACACACACACACACACACACACACACACACACACACGAAGACCCACACACAATGTCTATTTGTCTTTATTCATCTGTTGGTAGGAAAATGTTTTTTATGGGAACATTTAATCAAACTGTAATGACTTGATCTAAACTAGTGTGTATGTGTTGCAGTTTGTCCATGAATGTGTATGAATATTCATGTGTGTGTGTGTGTGTGTGTGTGTGTGTGTGTGTAGTGGAGGACCAGCGTGCTGACCAAGGGGACTTTGTGCTGAGCGAAGGCTTCATCTGTTACGGCTGTGTGGTTCAGTTAGTGTGCACTGAGTCTGGAGTTACTCTGCCACCCATGGTAACACACACACACACATGCTAACACACACACACACACACACACACACACACACACACACACACACACACACACACACACACACACACACACACACAGTATATGTACATATTCTGGTCATTCCTTTGGCTGAGGTGCTAACAAGTCATTTTTTATTTGATTTGATTTGATTTGATAATAATGCAGCCTGCTGAAGTGTCACTGAGCTAAACACTGAATTCCTTTCACCTCAGTGGCTTCTGTTATTTAATATATGATTAATCAGAGTTCCGTTTTCGTCCTTTTTGAAGAGAGAGCCTGCGGTCCTGATGCAGAGTAGGTTGATGTCTAGGTTGAAGGTCACTGTAGTTGTCTTGTCTGATCATTTAATATTTCACGCACAAAGTCAAGGTATAATCACTGCTCTAGTCCTATATGTTTTACAGATGTGTGTCTGTGCAGGTGTTACATAACCCTCTTTTCCCTGAAATGCTGTTATTGTTGAGCCCGTCTTCCACTTTAAGTTAAACTTAGACAAACCTCTTAGCAGAATCCTTCACAATCTGCTGAGCAGACCCTTCCTCTGTACCTCCTAAACTGCTGTCATAACAACCTCAGCTGCTGCCTGCTGGCATGTGGTTAAAGGTATATCCACACACTACACCTATATATGTTTTTGTAGTTGAGGCCTACTGCTAAATGGGTTGTTGAAGATCGAGAACATTTTCCTGCTGAGTCGGTTACGTGACGAGTGGCTCGGTTCTGTTGTTTGGTTGTGGTCGGTGTTCAGGCACTGAAGAGGTGAAGGTACAGACCAAAGAGTTCAGCTGGATCAGCAGCTGTGGAAAGACTTAAATATGAGAACAAAGTGTTGTATTCTGTGTGCGGTGCAATAAAGGGCGTGCTTGAATGTGTTAATACTTAGGATTAGGGCTCAAGGCCTGAAGATACCAGAAGTATTTCATTATGGAACCTCCAGCAGTGTACAGACTGCCTGGTTTTTATGCAGAGTATTCAGCTTTCTTAAATCCCATCACTGAACCTTCAGATTACTGCAGACAGCTGTGTTATCTTTCGTTTAAAGCTTTTACTCTCTTCGTATATTTGTAAGGTAAACTAGCTTTGTTTGGTTATTTTATCCAGATAATTATTGTATGTTTTGACCTGACTGTTGATTTTGAACCTCTCTTCTTCTTGCTGTAATGTGCGTAGTTTCAGCACAGATAACATGTCAAAGCGTTAGTCTGTTACAGCCTAACACAATTACAGCCTGCAAATTAGTCAGTATGCTTTTTCCCTCAGAAGTTTGCTGTCTTCAAACTGAATATCGCTGCAGAGAACTCTGTTTCAACACTCAGTTACAGTCACGTTATTGCCCTCAAGAGGCCGGGGAGTTACGCTATATTAAGAAAGTGACTGAATCTGTCAGCAGATATGTCCTAAAGCACAAGTAGCTAGAACTTATATTGACATCGGTTGATCCATTCAGCTATAGAACATGGTAAACATTATACCTGCTCAACATTAACATGTTAGCATTGTCAATGTGAGAAGATTAGCATTTAGCTGAACGTACTTCTGTGCCAGTAGTTAAGTCTAATTAACTGATTGAATATTCAGCTGTAATTACATTCAGAGATCTGTAAACATTCCTGATTGATTTTCTTTTGAATGTCCATCGTTCTGTTTCTGTCTCCAGGTGATCCGTAAGGTCAACAAGCAGCACGCCATTTTAGACGTGGACGAGCCGGTTTCTCAGCTCCACAAGTGCGCCTTCCAGTTCAGAGACAACCCAAACGCATACCTGTGTTTATCTAATGACACCATCATACAGTACCAGGTGAGACCCCCTCCACTCCCTCCTTCTCTGTCCTTCCTGTCCTCTGTCTGTCTCTCCATCCCAGCACTAATCCCCTCTTTCGCTCTTTCTTCTTGTATGGTTCTCCTTTCATCTCCTCCATCCTTCCCATGCCCTCCAGGCCCCGTCCAGCGTCAGAGACCCCAGCAGAGTGGTGCTGAACGACGGATCCTGTTGGACCATCATCGGAGTGGAAGTAGTGGAATTCACCTTTAATCAGGGTTTTGCCTGCATCCAGACACCAGTTACTCCTTTTCCTGTTATCACCGGGTTAGAGGTGAGTCACACACACACACACACACACACACACACACACACACACACACACACACACACACACCTACACACACACACCCACACACACACACACATTGTTATTGTTGATTTATTATTGACTTCAGTACAAAAATCAATCTGCAGAGACTCACCTGTCACCTGTATCTGTTTCAACAAAAGTAATGTATCTTATAAATAAACCTAAACAATGATATAAATGTGTGTGTGTGTGTGTGTGTGTGTTACTGCAGGTGAATGGTGGAGGACATGTTGCCATGCTGGAGATCCACGGAGAAAACTTCAGCCCTCATCTCAAAGTCTGGTTTGGAAACAGCGAGACTGAGACGATGTTCAAGTGAGTAAAGAGGAGACGGAAAGGCAGAGTGTGTGAGGAGAAGAGTACATTTATAAAGGTGAACAGATAATAAAAGAAAGGACTGATCAGCAAGGAGATTTTCATTTGGGAATTTTAAAAATATAAAAAAAAAAAAAAAATCTTTTGGGGATATCACAAAAACCTTTGGCAGCGAAAAAAAAAAAAAAAAAAAATAAAAGGACTGATCAAAGCATTCTGATCCAGTTGGGGGGCAATATTTGGGGGGCCTGGACACTTTAAGGGGAAAAATATATTGATTTAATCAAACAATCACACATATCACTATTTGTTGGGAAAAAAACCCCAAATGAAGATGTTTGAACTAATGTTTGGCACATATCTAAAGGTGGCATTTGAAATCAATACATTGTTTTATTTGCGAATCCTCAGACATTTTTCCAAATACACTTGATGTATTTACACAATTGTTATCACAAATCATTAAATTAATGTGTTAAATTTGACAGCAGTGGACACAAAACTGGGGTTTGCAGCTCTGTATTCGCCCCTCGAAGAAAGTGACCCAGAATCCAAAAAGGATGCAAGCGTACAGTACAATATTACCTGTAGACACCAACAGTTGTCATTATACTTTTACTGGCCTGCTGCTCTGTAGTCTGGTTGCCTTTAATAGCTGGTGGAGAGCTGTGGGACCATGAGGGAAAGACACTCTTGTAGACAATGTTCAAATCTTGCTTCATATCTAACAGAAGGAGAACTGATTCAGGCTAAAAACTACTTTAAAATGTTTTATTATTTTAATGGAAAAACAAATATAAGAACTGGTTAAACATATATCCATAATTTGTGTTTGAGTTCAAAATTCGATCAAACTTTTCCTACCGCAGACTAACTTTATAGAGTCTGAACCCTCAGTCAAGTTTTTGAGTGTTTCGATGCCTGGCTTCTGTTTTAAGGGGGATTTTTGCTTTAACGATCAGTTTGGGAGGCCCTATTTTTTTTATTTATGACTGTTTCATGCCATTCGCTCTCATGCTGCTTTACCACGGAGGCACCAGGTGTCCTGTAGAGCTGAGCAGCACAAAGGGCAAATTAAAGTTTTAGTCTTGCTTAAGTGAGACTGCTCTGCTCTGTGAAGCTGGCTGCTCATAATAGTTGGTCTATTAAGTCGCACTTCCACACTAAATATTATGTAACCAGACGGCTTCAACTCAAATTATATTTCGTTTAAGTCAAAATATGAAAGTAGTTGTTTTGCTGTTTGTTCAGGAATTTCAATAAAGTACAACAGATTTGCAGCCAAGAAAACATGAAAGAAGTTTTACAACAAGTTTGACAAAAAATATGCTCGACATTCATGACTTTACTGAACTTCCCTATTTACCTGTAGTGATCCGTTCTGAGGGTCCAAGCCAAGATTGGACCTGAGCAGCATAAAGGGTCTTATGTTATACTGAAACATCACCAGCAGGAACTCAGCTTGGCTTACAGGGAACAATCATCTCTCTAACTCTTGTGTGGGAGTCTGTAAGTTACAGGAGGGCGCCGCAGAAACTTGACATCCAGGCGTCCCCTCACAGAATCTCATATGACGCATCCCGAAGCAAAACAACCTCTCTGACGTCAGAATCCACCTCAGACCCCACACCTAAAGTGCTGAGGCATCGTAAGTCAGGGTCTCTGGCCGAGAGCGGCTCGCCACCGGCTTCTGCAAATATTCCTCCCATCACCATCAGCTCGGCAGCGTAGAGGAAAGCCGTATTTATATAACACAGTCATCCACAATGTGCTGTTTGTACGAGAAGCTGCAGCCAATTAGGAACTTGATCCCTCACTGCCATGTGAGCCAGAGGTGTAGTATAGGTTCGAATGAAATACCTTATAAAAGGGCTTTCACAGTTTCTGCTGCTCGCTAGTATTTCATATCAACCACAGAATTATGTTTAGTCTGTGACATAATCATGTGATTATCTCCTTCCATCGTTTATTTTTTAGCATTTTCACAATTTCACTGTTGTTGCTTTTGTTGCCTCTTGCAAAGTCTCTGAATGAGCCTGGAACCAAAGTTCATTTTCAATTTCCAAGAGCCGATCAACAGGCGCAGACCAAGTAGAGCTTTTCCATCTGCACTTTTCACCACGCAGATTTTAGTTAAGTTTAGTTACTCTCCCGCGTCGCTGTCTGCTTTATTTTACTGTTTCATGTTCGCTTTGAGCTCTAGGAGTTGTGTAAAGTTACTGCTGATAAAAAAACTTATAACTTTATGATTTTTTGCTCATAATAAAAGCTTTAAAATAATAATAATAAATAACTTTTATTGTGAAGAATTTATAGGAAATTAATTGTGTTTATCGCTAAGTCTACATGCTGCAGACAGGAAGGTGGCTCTGTTTATTTGTTTTTTGTTCTTTACAATGTAACCACCATGAAACAATCTGAGAATCACGTTTTATTTATTTGACTGTTTTGGGTCGCTGCTCCCTCTTTTCATTCAATCTTGAGCTATCTTGACCATCACCTTCAAGCAGGTAGCCCTGTTGTAATGGAGATGCAAATCCCTGCCATGTTGGGCTGGTGAACTGAGTCAAACCGATTCGAGCCAAGCCAGCCCATGTGTATGGAAAAGGAATACAAAATGCTGGACGTAACCGGATAGACCTTCAACCAATCAGAGCAACAATAACGTGTGACATAGCGCTGAACAACACAAGCCTTTTCAAATTACAGATAAACAGCACACTAAAATATGTTTCTGAAAATAAATATGAAGAAGGCAATGTGGTAACAGAATCTTGATTCATATTTGATCAGCACTGCCTAGTTTGACAGGTCGATCTCTTCCTTGTTTTTCTTCTCAGGTCTCCCAAATCTCTGCTCTGTGTCGTTCCTGACGTCTCGGTGTTCACTGACGGTTGGCGCTGTTTGCGACGCATCATCACTGTCCCCCTGTCTCTCATCCGACTGGATGGCCTGATTTATCGCACCTCCTTCAGTTTCACCTACACCCCCGAGCTCCAGCCGCCTCCGCCCGTCCGAGGAGCAGCAGGAGGAGGGAAGAGGGAGGGAATGATTGAGGGAGGACAGGAGGAAGACATCCTGTTAGAGACCATACATCAGGAGTTCACCAGAGCCAACTTCCACCTCTTCATGCAGAGTTAGTTCACCTTTTGATAATGGTTAGTTCAGATTTATTGGTTTTGGGTTAATGCCGGTCCTGTGTCTATGAACTGTGTGCAGATTTAAACCCATTCTGGACCAAGATGTTCCATCTTTGTACTCTTAATTTAACCATGATATGTTTATTGGAGCAGAATATTTGATAGATATACTGGAAAGAATTAATCATTAAGATAATTATGAAGAATCCAGTTCACACCAGTTCCCCTAAACTGTTTAGATTGTTTGAGAGAATCAATCACACAATCCTCCAAATATGGATTGTAGTTGGGACACAATGGTGCCATGTTTTAATTATTTTATGCCTTATATATAGTTGAGAGATGCAACAAGGGTCCCCAGCCGGACTGTTGCAGTCCACTTTTGGCTTAACCTCCCCTTGTGGATGAGTCTTGACCCATGAGCAGTTGACGGTGCTACTTTTATTCTGAAAATGATATTCTTATGCTTCATTATTTACATTAGTGAAGTGTGTTTCTCGGATAAATGACAAACCAACTTTGTTTTATGCCAACCGTATCAAAGTCAAGCACTTTGTACACTCGGTCCCTTCCTGGTCTTCCACAGAGATTTTCACAGCAGTATAACAACATCACCATTAACTGTATTGATACTAAATGTTGAATGTGAACATAAATCAATAAATTAATATTATTGGACATTTAAGGAAACAGGGCTCCTTGGTCCTTGTTTGTGCAGCATTCGTGTGACACATTTGCTCTGTCCGTAGAGTATATGTGACGATTCATGAACATACCCTAACCAATATTTCTTTTATGCCTAAATCTAACCAAACCTTTCCCACAGCAGTGTAATATCAGAAAATGGTTGTTGAAGCTTGACTAATAGGCTGTTGAAATTTCATCTGTAGGCGGACTATCCAAATAGATTGTTACTGTTTGTATAAATTGCATGCATTTTATACACACATTTACATTGGGTGCAATATTCTGATTCTGATTCGTATTCAGTTTTGAAGCTCAAACAGAATAGAAATGCTCCATAAGAAACACCTCAATCAGAATAAAAAGGCCCAAACTTATTGAAATTTTTAGTCATTTGTAGAGGGTTAGTTTAAACTTTTTCATATACAGATGAAAAGAAAACTTGTACCGTATACCTGATTACTTTATGGTTGCGTGAGCAGGTACATTTCCAACAAATGGCAGCTTCCAAGCTGAACTGAACATTATTGGATGGCTAGACAGTAAGAAAATAAAAAAATAATGAAAAAATAAGTTCAAGAAAAAATGAACAAAGGTGGGATGGACTGATGTGTTGAAGAAATTAAAAACTGCAGGAAAACTTTGAAGCCTATTACAAGGATAAATCCCAAAACAATAGAAGGGGATCTGACCCCATCAACTTCCTGGTTTACACAAGCATTTAACTGCAGACACTGACTCATCTCCACATCCAGAGAGAGGCTGCTCTGACCTCTGTGGCAGACGAGCAAAAAGAGACGTTCCACAGAGACAGCTGTGAAGTAATTTATATGATCTGTTGGCATCAATAAGACATTGTGTTTAAACGCAGCTTACAGTTCTGATTCATTAATTTATATTTGTGAACACTAACAGTGTGACTATGAGCAAACGCCCTGAATGATTCTGATCTCTGTGGCACCAGAGAGACATCCATACGATGTGTTCAGTGTCACCGAGAGGCGATAAAACGGTCAAGAGTGGAAAATGAACAGTGACTGCCTCAAAGAAGAAACAGAGAGCTATAGAAAGCTGTAGCGTGAAAGCATTGGGAAGAAGGATGTTTTTTCTGGAGAATGGACACGCGAGCCGAAGTTAGAGTGTTGTGAGAGAAAGCAGCAATGAAACACTGTCTGCTTCCCTTTTGATCCTTTGAGAGGCGGCGTTCAACCCAATATTCTGTGAGAAGATGTAAGCTGAAGTGTAATGTGAGTGTGATTAGTAATGTGTGTGTGTGTGTGTGTGTGTGTGTGTGTGTGTGTGTGTGTGTGTGTGTGTGTGTGTGTGTGTATGTGTCTGAATGGCACTTTGTTTCTCAGCTGTAACTGTAATAATTCATGTGGGTTTACTCCCAAAGGATCTTTCTGAATGTTTTCAATTACTTTACCATCAGAGCTTTGATGAGTGATGTAAGAGACCGAATACCTTTTTAGTTCAGTTTTGGTAAAATGATAAAAGTTCATATAACATAAAAAACTCAAACCTAATCAATCATTGCTTGTGAGAGAAAGCAATGTAATTCAATGAATTTTCTAGTCACTTCTAGTCACTACTAAAGCCACATTTTACCAGATTTTTGTAACAAATCACAACAAATAACAGACATTCTGACAAACAGTAAAACTAAAACATGTCTGCATTAAAATGTCCAAAAACACTAGACCTATGCTATATATTTTCTTGAGTTGTGTACTTACTTATCTATTCATTTGAAGACAACAACCACCACGCTTCTTCACAAAGTCATCTGTAGTTCTTGTTCTGTTTGTTGACCCCCAGTGGCAGAAATTACATATTGCACATTTACAGTCAGTTCTAGCATCGTCTCTATTCCTTTCATTCTATTACTAGTTTCTGTTGGGTGCTCAAATACAGCTACTCTGCTCCTGTGTACTGATTTCAGACACCAGGACTTGATGCTTCACAATGTGAAATTCTTCTTCTTAGTCTTTGTTAACTGATTGACTTGATTTGAAACTTTCCCACCAACTTACCAACTTATACAAGCAATTTATGACAAGTTTGTGCAGTTAAAGAACCAGTGTGTATGATTTAGTGCAGCTTGTAGTGAGATTGCAGATTGCTTCCAGTGTGTAGGAAAAACTATGGTGGCTGTGAAATACCTGCAGAAACACAAAAGGCCCTACCTCAGACCAAACAAGTCCCACCATGAGCAAGCATTTGGCAACAATGGCAAGGAAAAACTTTGAACAGGCAGAAACCTCGGACAGACCCCTGTTCTAGGTGGGCTACTGTCTGCCGGTTGGAGTTAGTTAATTTAAGAGCGTTTGGTGAATCAGACTTGGAACCCTCTTACAAGCAAAGCTCAAAAGTTTGAGATTTAAAATAAGAATGTAAATATGCTTTTACATTTCAGTAGTTCACCATCAGTTCAGGATACTGATAAGGTGTGTGTGTAGTAGTCAAAACTTCCAGTGTTAACTTTGTAACTAACTGCTAGAGCTTTGCTTCTTGTTCCCAACGAGTCATTTTAAAAAAAAAAAGGGAATAAAGGCTTTCACTGTATCTTGTTTTGTGTTAGAAAGTGCTTTTGATCCTCTACGGTATTAAACATTTGATAAACAGGCTTCAGAGCTCAGTGATGACAGAAATCCTTCAGATCACATTTAATAATCCACCAGTCTTACATTTTATAAAGCTCTCATCCTTATTACCTTAATCCAATTAATTAAAGGTCTGGAAATTCAACAAAAACCAACAAAGCCGATATCAGCCGTCTCTGCTCCACGCTCTGATCCTACTGTATGTTTGATCTTTGGAAGTTAAGTTAGGAGTAATTAAGTTTGTGGTGAAAAGTGCAACCAAAAAGCTCTTTTGTTCCGACCAAGTGAAGCAAGAGATAATCACACAAGCATGACGGGACCTCCCACATTGCTCTATGGTAAAAGCCAAATTTCATCCTCTTTTCATCCCTTGCATACTTCTCATTCTTAACATGGTATTTCTCATCAGCCTTGACAGTATGTGAGGAAGTTTTCTATTCATTTTCAGAGCAGCTACAATTCACAGAAATCTCATCTTGTGCTGTGATAGTGAGAAACATTGAATAGAAAATAAATTCATTAGATGTCACAGATTTCTTTCTTCCAACATGAGAGTGTTTATATCTCAAGTGTTCTCTGTAGTTTTAATCATATCGCAGAGATATTCAGTGTGCAAACTGACAGCTCACTTCACCTTCAGACAATTCTTTGCGTGTCAGATGGCCAAACAACACATTCACATTGTTAGACCTCAGCAAGATGCATCTAGCAGAACTGACAATTCGCCTATCGCACCCACTTCACACAGCGATCGGCCAGCTGTGTGGTGGTGAGAGAGAAAGCAAGATTTGAGCTTCTTTTTTAGGTTCTCTTTTTATTGTGAAGCCGATGCACATCAATCATACAAAAATCTACTGAGTGGGTATAATGCCTCATTTTGGATGTTAGCAATGTCAAGTTTTTGTAGTGCCTTTAAGCCATCCGTCCCTGCAATAAATAAAATAAATCGAATTCATCCAATGTGTAGGTTCTCTTTTAATTCTTTACACAACTATTTCTATCACAGTGTGGTAAATGCATATATTCTAGTTTAATTTGTGATACAGAACGATGATGCAGTTACATTGAGGTCAGTCATAATGTTTCTGATTACTGATTAGGAAACTAACACTATACAGTTGCAGTGTTTGTTCACTGAGCAGTGATTGTGGTGAACATGACGTTTGCAGTGTAATGGCTTTGTTACTTGTGTGTTACTGAAAAGAACAACTGAAAGTGTTTCTCCAACTGCCTTGTTGTCTTCACTCTCAACAAACTTTACCATCCTTAGATCATGCAGTAGCAAACACACCATCATCTCATGCTGGTCGGTCACAGTTCTTCCAATCCCAGTTTAAGATTATGAGTCCTGGAAAGGCTGATCAGTTACACCCTTTCAACATCTGGCTGGAATGTGTCTCTAACCACCCCAGATGTTTGATGCAAGCTTTAATTATTGTAAGTGGGAGTTCTGCATTTCTTAAAATGTTAAACAAAAAAAACCCCAATAAAACAGAACTAGGAGCCCATTTTGGGTCTTGGTCCAAACTGTTGAGCAACATATAGAGTAGCTTGTCCCTCATCCAGCCAACCCACCACCACCCAGACAGCAGGCAGCATAAGGAGGCCTTCACCTTTCCTCCATACCTCACGTGTCTGATATTCTGAGGGGAACCGAATGGCATGTGTCTCTCTTCCTGCACTCTCTCTCCCTTCCTCTCCTCCTCCTCCTCCTCTTCCTCATCATTAGCAAGACAAACATGTGTGAGAGAGGAGGAAGGAGACGGATAGAAACACAAGACCATGCGGTCTCCAGGCTCCTAATCTCTATCATGTGGTAGAAACTTCAAACTGGGAGATTCACATGCCCAAAACATTGACACCCGCCACGGTTTCCCTCCATCCCTTCTGATGAATGAGAAGCCATATGAAAGAGCCCTTTCTTAGGTTCTCATCTATAGGAACACACCTTCATTCTTCCTCCCTCAACCTCCTCCACTCTGGTACATAAAGAAAAGAGTTCAATGACCTTAAACCTTCTGATGTTAAAGGTGATTTCTGCTGTTCATAGTAGGGATTATATTTTTCCAGGAACAAAAGCACACTATTACTATCCTCACAGAAGTGATATCTAACAATTCTTCATTGTATAAACAAACAATATTCTTTAAAGCAAGTCATTTACTGTTTTAAAAATCAGTCTAATAATCTGAGATTGTAGTCAATAGTTGTCGTTTTAACTGGTTTTAAGCAGAAGGTGAGCTGTTATATATCTGAGTAAATATATTCTAATATGTTCTAGGTATTTCTATGTATGTTCTATGTCTTCAAATAAATGTTTTTTTTCTGTTTTCTCATTAATTTATTTATAAGGACATGGGAAATGGTTTGGATGGATATTCCCAGGAATCCAAACCATTTCTG